GTATAACGGAGACATATATGTCTCTGGTATAATAGTATCTACAGAAGTCCATAACTATCATTGTCATTATAATACTTCCCTTGCTAGTATTAAGTAGTAAGGAATGGAGCCTGTAATAATATTACGTGTCCGTGTTTATCCGGACACACAATGCATGTCAGCTTTGTTTTGCATCGAAAATAGGATATATCTTATGTATTTGAGTTATTTCTGGGACATATATAATGTTTGTATACTATTCACAGGATATTTATTAAGTGTCAATGCAAATAATTTGCAATAATCTTTGTTTTTTTAAATTTCAGATTACTTAGATGAAATATTCAAAGATCTGCAAGATGTTCCGTCGTGTCAAATAACAGATGATCACACAGAACATACAACACCTTCACTGTATGACGAATTGTTCCACCCTTCGACTACAAAGAAACAACCAGCGACTCCACAACTAGACATCAATCGTCTTGATGAATCGTTTTACAAGAACTGGACTTCATTTCCACAGAACTGTCTTTTTACAAGAATAAAAAAAGAGGCCAGAAGGTCAAGAAAAGATTATTTAGCTGTAGTGGTGATGATGAGCCTACGCCAAAGAAAATGTGTACAGTGAACCTATCCTATAGCTGTTCAGAGGAGGATTCTGAGTTCACATGGTCATCAATTTGCCGGAGTTGAGACATCGTTATAGACATCATTTGTTAAATATTATCTTTGTTACGTTTTTATAACATACTTTGTACATGTAAATCATTAATGCATAGTGCTAAATAAACTACTATTATACATGATATATTGTCTTTTTGATTTTGAAAATGTGTGTTCACTATAGTATCCAGTACCATTTTTATCGCTTTTGGTGAGTTTCGTCAAACCCTATTGCAAATCATACCTAAGTATACCTAAGCATTGATTATTCATGTTAAGATAACGAGATGTGGTTTGAACGCCAATGAGATAGGTGTTCATCAAAGGCCAAGAATGTGGTCTAAGAACTTAAAATTTTTTAATTTACCTATTCAAACCATATCATTATTATTTGCTTTTATATATAAATCAGAAATAACCAATTTAAAATGAAAAATTTTAAAGAAAAAAAAAGGGAAAAAAAATCCCAAATTTTTTGAACCCCCTTATGATTCATCACCCCCAAACTCAATCACAGCCTTCCCTTTGTGGTATGGTACCTTGCAGTACAATTTCATAGAGATCCATACACTTGAACACAAGTTATTGTCTGGAAACTAGAAAATGCGTGTTTTTTGGCCCCATATTCCATAACGTATAGGGCAATTACCCCTAAATTCAAACCCAGCTTTCCCTTTGTGATATGGAACCTTGTAGTACAATTTCAGAAAGATCCATAGACTTACACACAAGTTATTGTCCTTAAACTAGAAATATGCTTGTTTTTTGCCCCTTTTTTGGTCCCTAATTCCTAAAATTTTGAGGCAATTACCCCCAAAATCAATCCAAGCATTCCATTTGTGATATGGTACCTTGCAGTACAATTTCAGAGAGATCCATACACTTGAACACAAGTTATTGTCTGGAAATTAGAAAAATGCTCGTTTTTTGGCCCCTTTTTGGCCCCAAATTCCTAAACATTTAGGGCAATTAACCTCCAAACTCAAACCCAGCTCTCCCTTTGTGATATGGAACCTTGTAGTACAATTTCATAAAGATCCATACACTTACACACAAGTTATTGTCCTGAAACTAGAAAAATGCTTGTTTTTTGCCCCTTTTTGGCCCCTAATTCCTAAAATTTTCAGGCAATTACCCCCAAAATCAATCCCAGCCTTCCCTTTCTGGTATGGTACCTTGCAGTACAATTTCAGAGAGATCCATACACTTGAACACAAGTTATTGGCTGGAAACTAGAAAAATGCTTATTTTTGGCCCCTTATTCCTAAACGTTTTGGCCAATTACCCCCAAACTCAATTCCAGCTTTACCTTTGTGATATGGAACCTTGTAGTACAATTTCAGAAAGATCCATAGACTTACACACAAGTTATTGTCATGAAACTAGAAAAATGCTTGTTTTTTGCCCCCTAATTCCTAAAATTTTGAGGCAATTACCCCCAAAATCAATCCATGGCAAGCATTCCCCTTGTGAAATGGAACCTTGTGGTACAATGTCAGAGAGATCCATACACTAACACACAAGTTATGTCTGGAAGTTACAAAAATGCTTATTTTTGGCCCCTAATTCCCTAACTGTTGGTACCATAACCCCCCAAATCAATCCCAACCTTCCTTTTGTGGTATTGAACCTTATGGTAAAATTTCATAGAGATCCATTCACTTAAACTAAAGTTAGAGTGCGAAAACCAATGTGTCTTCGGACAATGACGACGCCAACGTCATACCAATATATGACCACAAAATTTTTTTGCAGTGGTATAAAAACAGACCAATTTAAATAACCTACTTCTCATAGTGACCTTTAAATCTGTAAGATCACAACAGTACCAACCAAGTTTTTTATATTGATGACCCAATAATAATGAAATGAAGTTAGTCTCTCCTGTAAGACAATGTACGCCTTCCAATGACTCTTAAAGACCAATTACTTGTATGAACTGAAAACGTGACCATATCACCACAATTTGTTGAAGAATTAACCAGGGAAATGCAATGAGGTCAAAGTAAAATTATCCTTCATAAATGCATGTACACCTTGCATGCATCTAGTATAAGGACCAAAACACAGTAGATCAGACTCTGTTTTAAACTAAAAATATTTTTTTTTCCGATTTTGAACCTTAAGAGTGTTTTGTCAGTTTTACACCCTAAAACCCAACAAAAGTCAAATTTGACGATTTTGATAAAATACGTTTAACCCCTTCGCCCCCAATCCCGCCTGTAGTCAAGATGGCCCGTATGACCCTCCATACTTTTTTAGAACTGCCCCAGCTGAACTCTCTTGACAGCAGGGACTTCAACCATGCAGATCATGGTCCATAAGCTCTTCTCAGATGTGTGTTTATGAAAATATGGCAACTTTAATGGCCTTTTTTAGAGTTCAATATCGGAAAAACGTAAAAAGTAGCCAAAATCAGGTGGGGTGGGAGTCTTATGATGGCCACTACTTTAATGGTATGGGCTGTAGGTATTAGCTATTATCATAAATACATGCATAGGTGGCAAGGAGGTATAATATGGCCAAAAGAAATCTGGTCTGTAAAATCTAGGTCACCGTTTTGTCAGAAATCTGTAAAAACGGACATTTAGGCAGACCTGGCTTGCCAATAATGATTCCCCAGCAAGACACTCAAGTCACATTTACTTCCAGTCAGTATGGATGGACTGCTGTAACTATAAGGTAATACTTGAATGACAAAGAAACACAGTTTGGTCAATGTTCACCTCTCAAGGTCGTATTAAAATAAAAAAATAGACTGAAAATTAACATTTTTCAGTAGGTTCAAACCCACCAGAAAATATACCACCTCCCACCCAACCCCCCACCCATGCCATCCGCCCCCAAATCTCAATACATAGTTTAATAGATCAGCATCAAGATTCTACTAATTTGCATATGTTTGCAAATATTCGAAAATGCCTGATTTTCCAGAAATCTCTTTGGGTAGAATGAGTTAAAAGATCTTTGCAACACACAATTTTCCAATTTTCCTACTATTTATGATGTTGCTGCTTGAAATCTACTATATAGTGGTTCTAATAACAATATTATGTAAGAGATGGAGGTCAAGAATTACGGTAAGCAGTATTTTCAGCAACTGTAAGAAGTTTGATCCAGTAAAGTCCATTGTTTTTAATCCTTTATACCTTTATTGTAGATTTAACTTTTCCTGTACTGATTTTTATGGACCTTTTGTTGGCCCACTGAGTGAGACAGAGGATTGCAATCTCAAAAACAAGTTAAATCTCCTCCATACATTCCTATGCTGATCCCAAATCAGTGGTTCTTAATGAGAAATGTGTTGATGATAGATCTCTGATGTTTTATTTAATCAACTTTTTTAAAATGACATGTAATGATGTAAAAGACACCAGTTTGTTGTTGACCACTACATTTGGACCTCAAATGTATTTTGGTTATTTGTGTCATTGGGTTTGCAGTCTCATTGACATATACCCCACATCTTTTTTTCATACAATAAGCATTTTCTAGACAAATATAAGAAAAATTTGTCTGAGGGCACGAATGCCCCTCAAGCTTGCTTATTATATGTGAAAATACTTTTAGAGAGCATTTGATGTCACTGCTAGTTTTTAAAAAGTTCTATTGTTCTAGTTGTAGTTCCCTTCTGTATTTTTAAAGTTAGGTATGTTGTATTTATTCTTGCGATAACTTCTCTTATGTGTGCCAAATCCTTCTCTCAATTTTAGGCCTGTTTGTGTACTAATATTTTAAAAAGATGCACACCACCTTATCAGTCAAAAGGTGTTCTACAAAGATAACCAGTCCTTCACCTTTCAATTGATACCTAATTACCAAAATATATTCTACATAGTTTGATATTTACACCTATTAATAGGAACCATTTTGTTTTAAATATGTACTACTTTCCAGTCTGTTCTTTTTGACCAGGCTTGATTTGGTTGTGTTACGTCTTACAAAGTCTACCCATATTATTTTGCAAACAGGGGGGGGGGCATAAAAATACCTGTAGTTGAGCTTTTTTTACTCATATTAAATGACAAGATTAACTTATCTCAAAAACTTGGGATTCTGATCAGTGAATTATGAAAATGAAGCCAATGCAGCATACAAATACCTGTAGTTGATCTTTTTTTACTCGTATTAAATGAAACGATTAACTGATCTCAAAAACTTGATTCTGATCAATGAATTATGAAAATGAGGTTAACCGTTGAACAAAAATATTATCTAAAATAAAATATTGGTATGTACAATACAGAAGCCTACCATTGGTGTAGAAACAAACTTGAAAGAGGAAGGGCCAACAAGGTACTCTACATGCATACATTCAGGTTTAATAACATATCAGAAGGAAGTAGCAACAATACTCAGATTGGCTAATTATTTAATTTAATGAATTGAATTCTGAAAACTTTTGTACATGATAATTTCAAATATAAATATCTATCTTCAGTTCTTCTTAAAAATTTGAACAACATTCTCAGTAATAGCACAGATGAATCATTTACTGAAGTAACTGAAATAGACAACGGATCACAGCAGCATGTCAATTAAGAAATTCCATACACATTCAGTTAATTTCATGAACAGAAGATGATCCAATAATATATTGTTTTTATTTACATGGAGATCCATTTAATCCAGTTATGAAGTGTTTTTCTGCACATAAAATTGCACATTGTGTATTTTCCCCCAAAATCTTTCCATTACTTGATACGATATAACATTTTCCTCTGCATCCTATGCTGAATTTCCCCTCTTCTCAACATGAAATGTAGCACTTTTTGAATTGATCTTTCAGGGTATTTCTGAAAATAAATGAGAAATAGTAACATAAAAAAAAAAGAAAATGCAGTATGATTACCATTGAAACAACTATCCTCCAGAGACTAAAGGACCAGGATGAATACAGTTACTGTAAATTCAGAAATTATTGCGTGCATTTATTATTGCGATTTTGTCATTTTAGACTAAAATGCGGTTTTAATTTTTGCGATATTGAGAAAACATTCTGTTTAATTCATATAAAAAATTTCAAAATGCGAGTTTAAATTATTGCGATTATAATCCTGTCGCATTGTTCGCAATAATAAAAACATCGCAATAATTTCTGAATTTACAGTATATATAAATTTATTGAAAACTAAATGATAATCTGAAGTCTCTATTTAACTAGTATTTTATCTTTCTGCCTACAAATAGTGTTTTTACTGGAACAATGATTGTAACTCTATAGAATTGAGCATAACAAATTCACTTAAAGATAAAGCAATCAAAATGTGCACTTTAATACATTATACAGAATGCGAGTGCTTGGAAGAAGTCATCAATGAAAAATAAATGTACATAGATGGTGGGTCACTCTGTGAATTATTTGTACAACCGTAATTAACATTTGAATCAGGCATTAAATGTTTATAAAACTTTCTTAAGTTTATTTGATATTGAATGAAATTCGTGAAAGAGCTCCCCTTACATTATGTATAATTATATAATATTATGGAATATATAGTGTGTTTTAATAGAGTGAAAACAATTGTAAGTGTTGTTTTCTGAGCCAAGCCATTTATAATTGATTTTCAAATTTTCACCAAAAAAAAATGACAATGTGCACATCTACAAATAGGTGAAACAACTGTGGAAAATTTCATCTATGTCCTATCCATTCTTTGATTTTTTTCCAATTACAAAATTTATTCCTTAAAATTTGGGATTTTATGTTTCATCATTGTGAAACAATATAAAGGAGCTTGCCACTTTAAATCAAAGGCATCTTTACAACAAATTCAGAAGGCTAACACGAACACCAAAACATGTTTGTTAGCAAGCTGTACTAACCTGTCTGGCAAAGTCTTGAATAATTGCATGTTCTGATACTTGGGAACCAATGACAAATCTTCGTTTAATTTGTTTTTCAATGCGGCTCAATAATTCTTGATCTTCTTCAGTGGTAAATCCTTCAACACCTATTCAATGGATATATGATAATTCACAAAATTGAATAAACATATACAGCATTTAGGCCATTTTTAAAACTTGAGTTTACTTTAAGAAATGTTGATTTTGAATTATGTAACAACTGGGCTACGTTGTAAAATATTATTAATATATTTATCTTATAAACATTGCCAATGATATCCACCTAAATATTTTGACAAATTATTTCACAAAATGCAAAGCATGAAATTTTCAAACCTGACAGATTTCCTGACATGGCAGCATCTAATGTTGAGACCTGGAACAATCTTAATGCTTCATCAACATCAGCACTGGTAGCAAAAGGTGAAAGTCTCATCTTAGCTAGGGATTCTGAGATTCTAATGATAGCCTCCAATTGCCTAGAACCATAAATATTATTATTACACCAATGGGCCATTTTAAAGATAGAAAGCAGAGGTAAATATAAATGGTCAATTATATCATGACCCTTATCTTCTAATCTATGTCTTTGGTCATCTATGCTTTGTTACCTCCCTTGTATTTACTCCATAAGGACCCAGAATAAGAGAGACATTTCAACTTATCTAAAGATTTGTTTTCTGTGTTGCAAATATGTATCAATTTATTACATGCAATTATGTATTACAAAAACCAAAAACCCTGTAATTTTTAAGAGGGCCACAAGCATCTTAAATTAATCTTTGTAATATCCTATCTAATAGTCCTGGTAATAAACTGTGGACAGAGATATCAGGTCTGTTTAAGGAAAGTGCCCCGATCCCCATCTAATCTTTTCATTCACTAAAAATCCCTACAGAAATTCACTACATGCTTTTTGCAACAGTTTGACTTCTTATTCAGCAGTTGATTGTTCTGATTATCAGATATAATGAAATGAATAGCAGAGCAATTATAAGTTAGTGAATAAATAAAACTATCATTGCTACCTAATTCTGGCCAGTATATTATCCAATTTATTAAAAATCAAACAATATTTTACTAAATGACTAAAACACAGTTTTACTTTCAAAGTCCTATTCTTCTGTATTATCTGTTACACACTTAATTTCCACATACTTTTTTCAAATTCTGTTTATAATGACAGTAACAGTTTTTAATATTTTGTTGTGTTTTTGACATATTTAAACACCCATGAAATTTTCTTGATTTGTTATCAACTTTTTTTAACATATCTTTTATGAAGGAAAGCAGGTTTTTCCTTAAAATACTGTGGACAACAACACACAAGTTGAATGCTACTGGAATTTCATCAGTCATTTCAACAAAAAAAAGATGAAATTGGAAAACTACTTCAATCCATCCTTCAAAGGTATAGAAATATATGTAAGTTTTTCATATCTTCAAAAGAACCAACCTGACAGTTATAGGAATGCTGATTCTCTTTCCTGTTTCCCTTTCATATTCACTGGCTCCATTTCTCATCAAAACATAACGATTCTTTAATTTTTCTGCTGCATCTGTATTCATACGTGGCCCACATTTCCTGAAATTGTAATAATCATATTTCATATCCAATATTATTAGCACTTTTGGAGAAGCTTCACAGTCTGTTTTCAATGCATCATGCTTGCATCAAATGTGGACTTTGTAATTGTAATTTGTAGGTTATGCACAAGGAACATTTTAGAGTAAGAGCACACCGGTGGGCTCAGAATCAGAATAAATGTGTGCTTGTGGGACACCATTTCCTCCAGAAACTCTTGCATTGTGAGCTATAATGAAGTTAAAAGATTCATCTCAGTGTATCAAAGTAAGGGATATAATCATTAACCAGGTGGTGCAAGTTTTGTACAAACAACCACTAAGTATGGAACTTACAATCTCAGTGCTGATCACTGAAGATGAACTACTTAAGAGCACTGGGCCACCTAGTCCCATACACCTTTACATTAAATCAATTAGGTGTGTACTGATTAATATTTTTGTCAGGGAAACAGGATTTATTTGTAAGTTGTAAGGACTATTTCATTAAAATGTATGTGGGAGGGTAGGAAAGGAAGTTTATTGAATGTGGTTCATAGGTCATTTTTCAGTATGCGTCTATTACCATTATGCAAAATATCTAAAAAATTCGTAAGGGTTCCGCGGAACCCAGTGTCTTGCCTACTTTTTCTGTTAATCGCAGGCTCAACAAAAATGAGGAAGTAAATCAATAAAAATATTCATCTTGATACTATCTTTTGATTGTAAGAAGCTTCTGTCCAAGTTTGGTAAAATTCCAGGATAGTTTATGAATCTAATAAATGTTTAAAAACTTTAACTGCAGACTGAATGTAATGTTAACTGGAAGAAAACAAAATTTCCTTCTAGATACTAGCATTTGATCATAAACAAGCTTCTGTCCAAGTTTGGTACAAATCCAAAATAGTATAAGAAAGTTATTAAAATTTTAAAAACTTTAACCACAGAGTGAATATGTTGTTTCCTGGCAGAAAATCTAAGTCCATTTAAAAGTAAAATACGGAAAAAATGGATTTATTTTTTTACAAAATTTCCTTCTAGATACTAGCTTTTGATCATAAAAAAGCTTCTGTCCAAGTTTGGTACAAATCCAAAATAGTATAAGAAAGTTATTAAAATTTTAAAAACTTTAACCACAAAGTGAATGTGTTGTTTCCTGGCAGAAAATCTAAGTCCATTTGAAAGAAAAATAAGGAAAAAATGGATTTATTTTTTTACAAAATTTCCTTCTAGATACTATCTAATGATCATAAACAAGCTTCTGTCCAAGTTTGGTACAAACCCAGGATATTTTAAGAAAGTTATTAAAATTTTTAAAACTTTAACCACAGAGTGAATGTAATATTTACCGGCAGAAAAACTAAGTCCATTTATAAGTAAAATACGGAAAAAATGGAATTTTATTTTTACAAAATTTACTTCTGGATACTATCTTATGATCATAAACAAGCTTCTGTCCAAGTTTGGTAGAAATCCAGGATAGTTTAAGAAAGTTATTAAAATTTCAAAAACTTTAACCACAGAGTGGACGCCGCCGACGCCGACGGAATGTAGGATCACTATGTCTCGCTTTTTCGACTAAAGTTGAAGGCTCGACAAAAATGGTTCTTGGTTGTAGGGATATTTTGAAATTCCCTTCCTACCCTCCCACATACATTTTAATGGAATAGCCCTAATTGACTCGTAGCTTTCAGAATTAATCTAAAATGTTTTTTCCAACCTTACCTTCTACAGTAACCTATATACTTTTTCAGTGTTTCTAGACTTATCTCTCCTTCAGCCTGCTCTTCTGTCATTTGCAAGGCATTTAAATGGACATTCATCACATGCTTAGCTAACGTCTGAAGAGAAAAAAGAAAGACAGTATAAAATCAAAGCGCTTGTGAGCAATGAAGGGTCAAGGTTGCTTTCATTTTGCAATTTTGTGAATTTTAAAATAAAATGTTAAAATTGTATTTTGCTCGGCAAATTAAAAATTTTGAGTTAGGAGTTATCTTCTTTTGTTCATGATTATACATTTGCTGTTGAACTGATTTTTATAACAGATTCATACACCATGCATTACTTTTAAATAAAAAAAGTTTTCTTAACAAGTATGGTAATTCAAAATACATATTATATTGTAACTTGAATATCAAAGTATAACTTATCATCAATAAATTGCATGACGTTGACTGGCTAGGATCTAAATAATGATCACTTCACTGCACTATTTTGTTTGATCGATCAAAAGCAGTGAAAAACCTTGGGAGATATAGATATCAAGTCAGTACCATATGGTTTTTGCATTTGATGCTATCTTTCCCCAAAAATCACTGTCTCAAGTATTCACTAAGAATTATACCCGTTTAGCTTTTATCCATAATTTGCCAAAACTGTAATCTGATACCTGGATTTTTTTTTTTGTTTAAACAATATATAACTTGTTTGTGCCTCTCCAAATAATTGATGCTTTTAAACATTTCTCTTAACCTATAGATCAACCAAATCTACTCTTATTCTTACCATGTCCCGAGCTTCATTATGTGTATCCTTGACAATGAAAATCATATCAAATCTGGACAAAATGGTTGGCATGAAGTCAATGTTCTCTTCTCCTTTTGTATCATCCCATCGTCCATATACACTGTTTGCTGCTGCTAACACTGAACACCTTGAATTCAGTGTGGTAGTAATACCAGCCTACAACAGTAATACACATTTAAACAAGAAGTTGAACAAATTGTCGTGATAAGCATGTCCTTACTGGCAACTCAAAGTATTGGAAAACAGGAACTCCAAAGTAAGTATCTGAGATCTGAAAAACACTAACATGCTACAACTCATCACTGCCAAGCTGCTGATTAAATATGAAGTCATTCTTTCCAGTTCTTACAAAATTATGATAAAAGTTTTTTTACTTCATTCAACATACTAAAGATTCCATATCAGCAAACAGGGTGTAGTTGTCTGACATATCTGTTTAGAGCTCACACATTACAACTGCTTACTGTCAAGCTGCTGATGAAATATAAAGTAATTCTGTTGTGGTATTGGAAAAAATTTTGACAGACATATTTGTTGGAAAATGGATGGACTGACAGACAAGGAGTATGCAATATTGCCCTGCCCGTTAGAGTGGGGGTTCAATATCTTAAGAAAGTATGAAACAATATTAAAGCTTCATTTCACATGATATTAGTCAACAAAAAATTCAAACATATATCCAGTTAAAATCTTTTTGGTTGCATCATGAATGGTTTTAAATACTTTCATGTTAAAAATGAATAAAGTAAGATGTATGGAAATCATTAATGAAATGGTAGCTACCAATTTATCAATTTTCTTATTCAAACACATATGAACATTAGCAGGAAATTATAATAAAGTTAGTGAGATAAGGACCTAACAATACCTTTGCAATAGATATGGTCTGTTGTTCCATAGCTTCATGTATAGCTACTCTGTCATCTTCTCTCATCTTGTCAAACTCGTCAATACATACAACACCTCCGTCAGCTAGAACCATAGCTCCCCCTTCCATTACAAAGTTCCTTGTAGCAGGATCTTTAGTAACTGAGGCTGTGAGACCAGCAGCACTACTGCCCTTACCAGAGGTATATACAGCTATAGGAGAACATCGCTCTACAAACTTTAATAGCTGGGATTTGGCTGTACCAGGATCACCTAACATTAGCAAATTAACATCTCCTCTTCTGGTTAATCCATCTGGCATTCTTTTAAAAAATAAGAGTAGTTTCAGTTTTTAAAACATCAGTATACATAAAAATTATAACCAACACAGATTCTTTTGATTATGATTATCGTAAGCCATAAAATGGTTTTAAAATACAGAAACTTTGTTTCACCTCTTTTACAGTACATATAATTGAAAATACCTCTCTTTTTTACTACCGAATGTGTGCATGGGACACAGATGCCGAGAGTAGCATCAATTATTTCTAAAGGAAAGAGTTTGCACTTGCAAAGAAATCTATAGCCTGGTTTTAGGCAGTTAATGCATCAAACGAACAATACAGAAACTAACATTTCCAATTTTCAAATGATTTGCTTGAGTATTAGTCAAGGAAACAACTGGAAACAAAATAAAAGAAAAATAATTTGCCCTTGTTGCCTCTGGATGATCACACAAAAATGTTTTACTAAACTTTCTTTGCATAATAGCTTAGCAATTTAAATATAACCCTTACACACTTTTTAAAGGAGAAGGTCCAGTAAGGGCTTCTTTAGCCTAAAATTTGAAGTACATCTGATGAAAGATTTTGACATTTTTTAAACACTTCAGTCGATTCGATTAGTTTATGTACAAGATTTGAACTGATTTGGTCATTAAAGACGCTCCAATTCAAGCTTAAATATGAAAAATCTTTCAAATATGCAACAAAACGTCACTTTTCAGGTGGTTTTTGTCCAAAATGGAGGTGGCCATATTCGTGTTCAGTCTCAATCTTTATATATGTTGTGTATCATCATCAAATACAACATATGTTCAAATATTAAGACTGAACACAAGTGCCGCCACTTCCATATTAGACAAAATAAGCACAAATGCTAAAATTGTGAAGATTTTAGTAATTTTGCATGAATTAATGATGCTAGTACCTGATGCATGTGCTTTGTGTTGTCAAAAACAACCCATATCTATGTCACAAAAGTATTCAACTTTCCAATAAATTGCTAAAAATTTACATTTTTAATAAATTTTTGAAATGCTATATTTTGGGGCCAAAAAATGGTCTTACCGGGTCCACTCCTTTATTTGGGGAGATACTGTAACAGTTAATTAGGCGAAAATGGAAAAGTGTTTTTTGACAACAATAACAGATTTTGAAATAAACTACCTCTTCCTTGAGCCTCCAAATAACAAACATGATATAGCTTTCTTCATGTCAATGCTACCATAAATGGATGGAGCTATGCTTTTGGCAATTGTTTCATAGATGTTTGGTTGTGATGCAAGACGTCTAAAGGCTTCTTCTTCCTCTGGTCTTATTGGAGCACCTGTACTGCGGCCACTTCCTTGTGTGTCTACCTGAATTCCCACCACACGGAAATATGGTGTTCTTATTCCCACATTCACCTTCTCACGAGAATTTTTCTGAAACACAATTTACATCAATATAAGATTATGTATAACACTATGAATATAATTGAAGTGTTTGTGATCACTGAAGTTTAAGGATTGTTTTCTTTTTGCAATAAGAACTTAAAATTAAACACTGAATTGTATTTAACATTTGAATATATTTTGAATTGAACTTATACTCCTTTGTTTATAATTGTACATTTGAAGTTGAACCTATTTTCAGAAAAGATTCATACATTAACAGATGATTAAGTACAACTTGTGTAAATCTAATAACTAACTATATTGAGAAGTCTGATTTTACACATATACATCATTTTGTAGCTTGAACATCTGTCAGGGCTATTCCAGAAAAAAATGTATGGGGGGGTTGGAAGGCAGTTTTTGTCAGAACCCACCACCTAGACAATTGTAATTGAGAATCATAGTGCATTATAGTGTGAAAAGTTGCTCTGATACCCATCACCCATGTATTATTAATATAAAGTGCCTTCCAACCCCCCCCATACAGTTTTTTCTGGAATAGCCCTGAGCATATATCAGCAATAAATTACTACATAGACTAGATTGTCCTTACCGCACTATGTTGTTTGAACTCTAAATGGTAGATTAAGCCCTGAAAGGTGTAGCTATCGAGCCAGTAACATAAGGGTTTGAATTGCATTTCATAAAAATATCCCCCAAAAATCAGAGATTTTTTTTAACTGTAAAATTGTTTTAAATAGTTGAAAGATTAACCTTTAAGCTTAAATGTATTTCAATTTTAGATTCTGCCTGAACTAAAGTCCATTCAGGAAGGTATTTCTAATGTTTAGACAATTGGGGAAAAGAGGCAATCCTAAGAGATAAGATAACATACGAGTATTGTAATCATGTAATACTAACCTTGTTAGGAACTGAGGTCTTTTTGATAGAATATATACCCACAACAGTAACACGGTTTCCAGGAACAATTTTATCACATAAATACCTGGAAAAGAAATTAATTGTACAAGAACTTTACTAAATTTTGATGGGTTGACTTATTGAAGAGCACTTCAAAACTCAGCAGCAAGCATATGTAATACATATTCAGGATTGTTATGTAAAATCAATAAACTAAGCTTTGTTCTAGACTGACTTGCTGAGTTGGATTTATAATGGGCTAGCTCACAAAAAAATAAAAATCCACAAAAAGACGTGTCACACTATACAGACAATTCTCACTCCAAGTTGACTAGTCTTCAGGTTCTTCTAAATACTGAAGAGAATTGGTACATGCAAGAAATTAAACCCCAGACCCCTTACCATTTTAATTTCTTGCTTTTGTAACACAATGCAGCATATGGTTGAAAGTTGAACAAATTTATCATGTCTGATAAATATTCATACCCTTTCCATATGTAAATCAATGTATCCTTCATAACTTGCAGTATAATAGGTAAAGTACAACTTTTGTTTTGTTACTGTGGATTCATTATTAATTATTGGATACCAGTTTTCATGGATTTTATGGGTACAGGTTAACCAGGAAATTAAATGTTCAACGAAAAACAAATCTTCTAATGGCTTGTAAGCAGACTTCGGTAAAACCACGAGATTAAATATCCACGAACATGTAAGTTTTCCTTAATCCAAGAAAATTGGTACCCATGAAAACAAATGAATCCACAGTATATGATTTTGTTTCTTTTTTTTCGCGGGGCAGTTTTGACTTAGGAGTAAGACCGCTGCGCTCGTCATTGGAACCTACATCTTTTGTCCTAAAATCATAATATCTTCACTCCTCTTACCGGTCAGCAAATAACTGAAGATGACGTGGCATCTCACCATTGGGAACACTCTCTGGTGCTTCCTGCAGTTTTAACACCTGGAAGTCCACACATTTACATTTGTCTGGAACTATGAAGAAAGGATCAACAGGACACTTTGGTCTTCCTGCTTGATCTCTGTAAAATACATGTAGTATGTTTTTATTCATTTATCTAATTCAATTCAATCCTATTATTTTATAACTGCTTAACCAGTCTTCATGATAACCTTTAAATTACAGGCCTAGAGCTAAATTTTTCGAAAATTTTAGTTAGATTCTGTTGACCTGTAGAGATGATTTTTACAGGCTCGAAAGCAATTTTACAAGCCTGGGCTGCTGGGCCTGTGGTTAAGCGTGAAGACTGGTTAACAGTTTTGATATAATTTAATACTCTTAAAATGTGAATAAAAATATTGTTTCCATAACAGGTCTTTTACCTAAATTTCAATTTTCTAAAACTATTCTTCCCTCCACATAGCTTATACAGGTGTGATCATATGGCATTGAATTGCCATCAATAAATCAATGTATATACTCACTATTAAATGGAAGCCAATGAAAAACAAGATAAAGATACAGAACACATACATGTATGTAATGCAACTTTAAGTTACACACCAATGCAGGTGAAATGGTATGTCTATCTATTAAGAGAAAACCAATGAAACATGATTAACAGTAGATATTGATATGACTACATTTAATTCATTCACTTGATACAATCAGAAATCTATGATTGCATCCCAACTGCTTAACGTACATGTATACAGTTTTTACAGACTATTTTGAAAATGCCAATAACTGCAACTGTTCTCAAGTCTAATAGATTTAACTGTTACTGTTATTTGCTTTTGAAAGTTCATAATCATTGTACCAAGTCAGAAATGTAATATTTCCTCTTAGCTTTATGAAGACTCTGGAATCTTTTTGTTTAATGGAACCTGTGGGTTAACATCTTGTATTTGTGATCATTGTTGCTGAACTGAGTTTCTGTCTATTCATAAGTTTTCAGAGAAATAAAAATAATAAATCTTATTCTACAGCAAAATAAAGAAGTGTAAAATTCATCAATAAAGGGCAATAACTCCTTACATGGGTTAATGTTACACATATCTGGGAACTCATTTACATAAATCCTTACGTGTTACATTTTCTTGGCAAGGCATATCCTTCAAGTCCAGGATTAACAGCTATATTGTTGACTGTGTTCCTACAACTTCTACACTGTATTGTAAGTCGAGTAGCTTTGGCTTTAATTGAAGATGCAGCTATCACAATTCCTGGTATTCTAACTAGCTTTGACATCTGTTCAGACTGCAAGTTAAATCGTAAACTTAGAAAAGGTACACATTTTAAATTATGTTATTGTGAAAATCAGTTCCACTTCCATATTTTTCCATTTTTGTCTCATTTGAAAGAATAAAGTCCCTTCCACAAACTATGAAGAAATCAGAAAATTCAGACAAACAATTCAGAACAATTTATCAACTTTATAAAAGTGTGGCTTAAACACTTTCAGTATTACTGCCTAGTTGGTCCATAGGTAGGTATTTCGTTTAGATCCAAAAAGATAACAGAGTGTAACATACCTTCAGAGCTCTAATATTACAAGGATTTGCAGCAGAGTTCAACATAACTTGTACATCTTGTACTTCCTCTTCCCCTTCTGGTCGGGGATTAGTCACTTCATCTGCAACTTCTTTAGCAGCATCTTCAAACTAAAATATCAATGTATCATTTGCACTTAATTTTGAATTTTCTTATACAGAAATAGAGAACTAAAGACAAACAGATAAAGTTTCAAACTCAAGTGAAATATGTTCTATTAGTTTTCGCTAATTTTTCACCAGTTTATATGTTACAATTCATGGTGGGATACCCTCTCCAAAACAAGGATCCGGATATTTTTTCACACAATTTCGGTCATTTTGAGATGAATTAAAAGTTGGTGCCACAACCAACTTGTATTGACTGTTTCACTGCATTTACTTCATGAATTTCTTACCATTTTTCTAAAAACGTTCAAGAACAGTTTAGGGAAGCCAACAGTTTAAAATTGAAAATATTTTATGGACTCTAAATGGTAAATTTCTCGGACTCGCTAACGTTTAATTCGATTTTGAAGACGAAATTAAAACCGGAAGCTTTGCGACAATACTTAAGTACAAGTAATTCCGGATTCATTTCCGGGATTCGTTTTGTTTATCAAATTGATAGGAAATCATCGGCGTTTTAATTTTATAACCATTTAAAAGTGTTTGAATATATCAGATAATAGTTTCAAATAGCATGAAATCATTTTGCATTTTACAATTAAGTGTCTAATCTGCTGAAGACAATTTCACGCATGCGTATTACATAGTAAATAAAGCACACATGTAACTTTTTTATTTTTATTTTAGGTGTTCAATTCTTATATATATTATGAAAATGCCAAAAGCAAAGAATTTTCATACCAAAGGTAAATGTTCAGATGGTTGATTGTATAATCTGTCAGCAAGAGATTCATCAAAGCTGGATACATCTTCAATGTCTACTTCTAACCAGTACTGTCCCAGATTGTAATTGCGCTTCAGCTGATCTCTGAATAAAAATTTTAATAATATACATCTTCAATAGCAGTTCTGGTCTCTTTTGTGGTACCCTGATGACCAGAAAACTGAAACATGTTACATGAAGAACTTGTATATGTAGTTTAGTACAGCTTTTATTGATAACAGAGACTATAATTTTGAGATATATGTCAAGTCTACTCAACTGTGTCATACTGCTTACATTGGTAATAAAGACTATAAGTTTTGGAATTATACATGGTCACAAATTACCTTTTATAAGACTACAATTTTTGTGACGTGTACGCAAGTTCCTTAACACAATTTGGTAGATGTAATTATTCAAAAGGAAGATAACTCTATCTAATACTTACATCTGCCAAATTGTTCAGCCAAAAAGATAAGTGCGTATCTAATAGTCAGTAGATCCGGATTTTATCTTGTTTTTTCCATGAAAGTTCTTTGAACTGTTTTCAAGAGTGAAACTGTCATGAATGTTTGTATATTAGGTTTATGGTTGCAATTCATCAACCAAACAGCAAGCAACCTATTTATATAGGGGGGATGGAGAGAGAGATTAGAAAATTCTGGAATCCAGAACATATTATCTCGATAAATTTGTTCAACAATTTGAGAGTTGGAGGTTCAATGAGTATGATTTAAACGCCTCAGGTATGATTGATGTTCAAAGTCTGTCAACCGTAACCAATCCGACTATTGATAATCAATATTACAGTGAAGTCAAGTTGCATATAAGCATTTTTGGTCTCATAAATCTTTAATAGCCAGCCCAAGTAAATACACGAACCTATAAGACGAGAACTGGAATCGTTTTGCAACGGAGATGAATTTGAATCTGTAGAGTCACCATTCAGGAAAGCTGAACCAAGTTACAGACATGAAAATAACTATAAATGTCCCTTTTAAGATTTATAAAGCAGTCAAAACGCTGGTTTACATTGTCAAAATAATAAATAAAAAAAAAAAATACCCAATTCGAAGACAGTCCCTTTAATAGGAAACTAGTCTTCCTTAAGTAATGACTATCTTACAATAGCAAATACTAGTTTGACTCCCTTTAATGTTATACTCTTGGGTGTGCATTGGCCTATTAAAAAGGGTGTGTGCTTTATTCAACACCAAGCTCTTCAAGGAAAAACTCGACCTTCTGTTGACTTAAGGATCATAGTCATGTCAGTTTTAGGAATTTTTGTCAAATTTTCTGAACCCTTTGGTTTTTCCCTACGTTACTGGGTAAAATATTTTGCCCCATATCACATACTTTTCTTTTCATAGAAGACTTCATTCGCTCATAAAAGGTCATTATCAAAATTTAAGCAGATGCTATATTTCTTTTCTTAAGATTTGAGACCCAAATAATGCCAATGCTAAATATAAGGTAAAAGTCAGTGTCAGCCTTTTCCCACCATTTTTTAAACATCAAAGATCTTAAAAAGGATTTCCATTACCTATCAATATTTTAGCTTATTTTGTTCCTTAACTGATGCTCCTCTGATTTAAAGATTCAATTTTGAATTCCAGATTTTTTTAATTTCACCTGATATCATCCTTAAGTGGCAATAGTGTGATAATCTCATTGCATAGATACTACTAGAAAATAAAAAGCAACGATTAAAGTGTTTGCTTGATCCATGTTTGATATCAGTCATATCATGATACTTTTCATACATACTGCACTAAAAAGAAATGCAGCGATAGGAACACTTCAGTAAAGAAAATGTTAGGAAATGGAATATCTAATTACTTATACACTCGTCAATTTCTGCTACAGTGCTACCAGATGCTAATAAAATGTGAACATATCATGGGGATTTCAGTTCCACATAACAAAAATCTATAATTGATTCCCTCAAACATGTACTCTGTTAATTCTAGATCCTATTTTGATTGAAGTAAAGTAAAGATGGCACTTAGATTTGTCCAAGATATTTTGTCAATCCCAATTTCCCGTGGCCAAAAACAAGGCTTTCCCGTATCCCAATGAATTGTTATCCCAAATTCCCGACCTTTAAACAAGGCAATCCCGATTTCCTGTTGTAAAAATCGGCCTATCCCGGCACCCCGAAAATAGTCTACCTCCCCCCTTGTCTGAGGAAAGTCCCTCATTCAATGTATCCCATAATAATTTTGAGAGTAAAAGAAGATCTTTTTTTCCAATCACATTGAAAATTAATTTTTTTATTTAATTACTTTCTTCAGGGAAATTAGTTAGGGCTATATATCATTTAGGTTCGTTGGAGCGACCCAAAACATACCTACTTTTTCAGCCTATTAATTACTTTTTGGAAGTTTTCGAGATATCATTTGAGGATGGAGGGGGGGGGTGTCCAAAACAGGTTCTATGGTCTCAGAGGGGAAAATGTTGCTATTAAATGAATGTGTGTGCCATGACATCAATAAAATTTGTGATGATATACAATATTCAATTTTTTATCACCAAATCAATAATCATATAGCTTTTATGCCCAAGAATCTATCCCAACCTGTGAAACACAAGATCTCATGGTTTATACCTGTATGTGTAGGTAAAGTTTCCTTCGTGAAACTGTCTGATAAAGTCCTTTAATCTTTTTTTCACTTGTTGACGATTGATCTGATTATCATCGTTTTGATCTTCCGAACCGAAGTTGTCGCTAAAAAATACACCAGCATCATCGAACCCTGCCATTGTTGATGTTTTGTCTCACGTGTTGCATTTGGCGGGAACCTGTTAACTCCGCCTTTCTAGTTCCGTTTTATTCGGAGCGCTTTTAGATTTTCCTGTAGAAAACGAGAAAAAATAAAATTTCCGAAAAGATAGCGACGGAATTTGTTTATGAAGAATGCTGCAGTATCCTCAACATTATTGAGAGAGCTTTTGACTTATCAAAATGTAATTGTTTTAAAAGATTTAATATTAAGTCCTGAATTACCACAAGATTTGAGCGAATGTATATGTTTTATAGATCAGACATATGCCGGTAGAAAGCCCTACATAGAAGATGTGGTATGACTATGAGTATGAGTGCCAATGAGACAACTCTCCATCCAAGTCAAAATTTATAAAAGTAACCATAATAGGTCAAAGTCTTCAACACGGAGCCTTGGCTCACACCGAACAGCAAGCTATAAAGGGCCCCAACAATTACTAGTGTAAAACCATTCAAACAGGAAAACCAACGGTTTAATCGATATAAAAAATGTGAAACGAGAAACACTTATGAACCACATCAACAAACGACAACTACTGAACATCAGATTCCTGACTTAGGACGGGTGCAAACAATTGCAGGGGGTTTAAAAGTTTTAATGGTATCAAACCTTCACCCTTATCTGAAACAATAGTGTAACATCACAACATAGAAAGACACACTATAAAATATCAATTGAAATGGCTTAACTCAATCAAAAGACATATTAACCCCAGTGAACATACACTGAACAAATAAATTTGATCTATGATACAATGCAAATACAAAATAAATAAACTAAGGGAAGAATAATTAAAGTAACATGTTATACCGCTGTGAAATGTTAAACAATTAAAGAAAAACAATATGCTTGAACAAAAATATCAGCCATTTGCAATTACTTTAAACACAGTTAAATGAAAATAATTTTGTTGTTAGGTATCAGTGGCGGATCCAGAACTTTTCATGAGGGGGGGCCCGCTCCAGTCATGCTTCAGTGATTCCCTATATAATCAACCAAATTTTTCCCAAGAAAGGGGGGGCCAGGGCCCCCCTGGATCCGCCTATGGGTATACATACGTGTACAGTTCAAATGGTGAAAGGAAATATTTTTACAAAATACATAATTTTGATGTTCATAGTATGAAGAAGTGAAAATTTATAGTAATACCAAACACTTTAGTCCAGATAACAAAATATTCTCAGGCTGAAGGTATTTTCGATGTTTATTTTATAGTTGAAGTTCCCTTTTTGACGCAAGTCTTCCAAGACATCATAATTATTTGGACTACGTTACTACGTATCCTACAGCAAAATGACTATGATATAGTGAATTCCATTCCCGTTTGGCTGTGTTTTGCATAAATTCCTGTTTGCACCTTGAGCCGTTTTGCCCTGATTTCTGTTTGCCTGGTGGTTTATGCAACTGTATAAGGGTATTAGTCTTCAACATCTAATAAAACCCATACCATATAGTCAGTTATAAATGGCCCAGAGGTGACAAAATGTGAAACAATTCAAAAGAAAAAACCAACAGCCTGAGCCTGATTTATGACAAAACAATATGACAGACAGAAACCTTTGACAACCACTGAAGAACAGGCTCCTGACGTGGGACACGCACACATACTTGGAAAGTGCCACGGTTAAACATGTTTGTGATGTCAAGGGGTGTACATGCATTTGGACGCACCATAACAGGAACCCATGGATTGCATCCTTGTTGCACAAGCCCAGTCCTATCATCATCAAGATTATCTATTCGCTGTTTTATAGTATTTAAAATGTGCTTTTTGTAAATATTTTTACTGGAAACGACTTCAATTTTCGTTTCATTATTTGCTTGCCAGAAATGTAAAATCCAAGAGAAACAACAAATAAATGATAACAAAAAATACTGAACTCCAATTTAGTTACTTGATTAATAAATAATTTAAGGGGATGTGGTATGAACTGTTTGTCTCACAGATGTAAATGACTATTAATCATGGTAAGGCTTTATTCAATGAGAAAAATCCTTACTGTATGTTTTTGGATTGGGAGGGGAACAACATTTGGTTGCTTTTATATATAAATATATACATGTGCTATAATTCATCAGAACAACCTGGACTCACCATTTCAAAAAGTTATGAGTCCCAGGACTCACCCTTAAAATATCCTATTGAAAACCCTAGTTTCTGAGATAACAGGTTGTGAAATAAATGGGACAAAATATTTCAAATTTATTGATTTTCTCTTTCTTAAGGGTGATCAAAATTTCTCATTTTTTAGTAAAACTAAGATTGTTTTTACAGCAAGATTATGATAGTTTTTAGCATTGTCCAAAACAAACATGTTTGATTGAATCTAATTACCGCGTAACCGGTAAATGTTATGACCAAACTTCTTTTTTTTTTTTATCATTTTAGTGATTATGGAGGCACCTATAGAAACATTTATCAAAGATTTTGTATGGGCTAGGACTGGAGAAACAGTATATACAGATTTGTCGACACCATCTGTTGTGTTAATTAGAGATGTTAAAACCTGTGGATCAACAGCTCTGGCGGCTTTGTGGCTTAACATCCTGCAACATCCTAACAACTACCCTGTACAACGATACCCATACAGGAAACTTTATCAGAAAAATGGAACTTACAAAGTTGTATTAACAGTGGATGATGTGACATTGACAGTCTCAATGTCCTTTGGATCTCTAAAAATGAAGGGAGAATTTATACTCCATTGGTTTCAAACGCATTTCTTGAAAGTCTTGGATGCATATGGAAGGCCATGGGCATACCCTCAACCATTAGATGATAAATATTCCAAGTTGAGAAAAACTTGGGAGAATTTACCTTCAGTGAAACACTCTGCTGGTAAGACAGATTCATATTAAAATGCTGAATTTTTGTGATGTCGAATGTTAAAAAATGTGCCATGGTTGAAATAACTTTCATAAATCTTGAGACAATAGCTTTGTCTTTTGTTTAAAATGAGGCATGCAAATAAAGGAGATGGGAACATGAGGCCCAGATAATTGACTTGCTGCATTTTGCCACAACTACATTTTGTTAATTTTTAAAGATACTTCTGTGTTCTCCTCAGGATTTTTGGATAGCACCATGGTAAGCATGGCGACAAATTAGAGATGTGCATTGAAAAATAAAAAAAATCAATGTATCCAACACTTACATTGTAGCTGTCTCAAGCACATAACCACATGGAAAACACAATAATGTTTCATATTCTAATCTTGTTGTAAACTTGTCCATGCTATTACTCTAGTACATTTTAATTTTGTAAGCATATGTTCCATGTCATAATTGTCGAGCCTGCGACTTTTGTCGCAGAAAGCTCGACATAGGGATAGTGATCCGGCGGCGGCAGCGTTAGCTAACTTCTTAAAAGCTTCATATTTTAGAAGGTGAAAGACCTGGATGCTTCATACTTTGTATATGGATGCCTCATGTTACGAAGTTTCCGTCAGTCACATGTCCAATGTCCTTGACCTCATTTTCATGGTTCAGTGACTACTTGAAAAAAAAGTTAAGATTTTTTGTAATGTTAAATTCTCTCTTATTATAAGTAATAGGATAACTATATTTGGTATGTGCGTACCTTGCAAGGTCCTCATGCCTGTCATACAGTTTTCACTTGACCTGGACCTCATTTCATGGATCAGTGAACAAGGTTAAGTTTTGGTGGTCAAGTTCATATCTCAGATACTATAAGCAATAGGTCTAGTATATTTGGTGTATGGAAGGACTGTAAGGTGTACATGTCCAACTGGCAGGTGTCATCTGACCTTGACCTCATTTTCATGGTTCAGTGGTTATAGTTAAGTTTTTGTGTTTTGGTCCGTTTTTCTTATACTGTATGCAATAGGTCTACTATATTTGGTGTATGGAATGATTGTAAGGTGTACATGTCCAACTGGCAGGTGTCATCTGACCTTGACCTCATTTTCATGGTTCAGTGGTTATAGTTAAGTTTTTGTGTTTTGGTCCGTTTTTCTTATACTGTATGCAATAGGTCTACTATATTTGGTGTATGGAATGATTGTAAGGTGTACATGTCCAACTGGCAGGTGTCATCTGACCTTGACCTCATTTTCATGGTTCAGTGGTTATAGTTAAGTTTTTGTGTTTTGGTCTGTTTTTCTTATACTGTATGCAATAGGTCTACTATATTTGGTGTATGGAATGATTGTAAGGTGTACATGTCTAGCTGGCAGGTGTCATCTCACCTCGATCTCATTTTCATGGTTCAATGGTCAAAGTTAAGTTTTTGAGTTTTGGTCTTTTTTTCTACTACTTTATGCAAAAGTTCAACTATATTTGGTGTATGGAAATAGTTTATGATCTATATGTCAGTCACGCAGGTTTTATTTGACCTTGACCTCATTTTCAAGGTTCATTGCTCAGTGTTAAGTTTTTTGTGTTTTGGTCTGTTTTTCTTAAACTATAAGCAATAGGTCAACTATATTTGTTGTATGGAAGAATTGTTAGCTGTACATGCCTGCCTAGCATGGTTTATCTGACCTTGACCTCATTTTCATGGTTCATTCGTCAATGTTTAGTTTACTTGGTTAATGTTAAGTTTATGTGACAGTTGTAATAAAGCTTTATATTTAGGACTATCAACATAATATCAATGATTAGTAAAGAAGGCGAGACATTTCAGCGTGTGCACTCTTGTTCTACATTTGTAAGCATGTGCTCCATGTAATGATGCATATCATGTTACTTTAAAATAACAGAAGTCAAAATGCTTTTAAAAAAATTCATTTGGAATTCATCTACATCATGTCTAACACTATGTCAAAATTAACTTGTAATTGGATTAACATGATTAAGGAAATTTTAGGTATCATCAACATGAATTAATTTTTCATGAACAGATTCTAACTATTACATAAAGATGTAATAACAACAAAACACAAAAAATCATAAACTTGATAGGTAGAATGTTTATAACAACCATTATCAGACCATGCTGATTTTTTATAATTTTTCACAATTTTTTTTTCTCATAAAAATATAGAAATACTGTTTAATTGTGTGAATTAAAACTCATTAACTTCTTCCCTTCCAAAAATTACCTTTATTATTATAGATGCAGAATATGTTTATTTTTAGTAGTTGTAATTGAGAATAAAACAGAAGTGATAGATAGCAAAGAAGACACTGTTCCTGAAAATAAAGACGAAACAGATTCAGAAAACAAAGAAGCAGATATAACAGAGGAGAAAGTTGAAGAGAGTTCACCTGAGGAAAATGATGATCTGATGGATTTGAAAGAGGCACTACAGAATGTAAACAAAGAGAGGGTAAGATGAAGTGTCTTTAAATTTATAAATAAAATGAATCGAATTTGCTCTTTAATTACCGGTAATCACAATGTCAATTATGTTTAAACCATTGTACATGTTTTTAACAATAAGGTGCTGATGTGACTTAGAACAAACACCAATCAATCAACAATAAGGTTACAATTACCTATAGACAACAATAACAATCCTCTTATAGGGGTACAGCACATCTAAGCAACATAAAGTTCGTCACGAGTTAAATTTCATTCATGAGTGAGGTTTTTTTCAGTTTTACATTAGGTCTGCACAGTCCCTATTGTAGCAATCTAGTTTGGTAGGTCATTTTAATTCATATAATTATTTTCTTTTACAAGGGTGATATTATATAAATAACACATAGCTGAGAGGGTGATAGAGCAGATTGTTACCCCGAGAAAACATTGTCAACTGAGGCGAAGCCAAGGTTGACAATGTCTTTTCGAGGGATAACAATCTGCTCTATCACCCTCTCAGATGTGTTATTTAATTTTTTATACTGAATGTTCTGTTATTACTGTCTATTAAATTTCGAATTCAAAGTAATACATTATGACGTCTTGTGCATAACAATCATCTGTATTTATTAAAGCGCACACTTGATCAAGCGTCTCCCTGAAGGGTAATAGAGCATTTGCCATAGGATAGAGTAAATTGTCTCCTTCTTATTAAGTTTTTTAACCAATCAAAATCTGGCATTTTGACATGAAGTATAATAATATTTATTATAACCTTTTGGCAAAAATGGCTGTTTTTACTGAATATCAAATGTAATATAGGTGTTTATTTATGTAGCTTTTTCTGCAACCAGGAATGAAAAAAATGAACTTTTCAAGTTGCAAAGGTTTGTTTATACTTAGAATAAATTTTGAGGTGTAAACATGGTAATTTTGCCAAAACCTTAAATTAGCTTGACTACCTATGCAGGTCGTGTGTAATCAGTGATTTATTGTCATTTATGTCGGGCCTGCGACTTCTGTCGCAGAAAGGTTAACATAGGGATAGTGATCCAGCAGCAGCTACTTAAAAGCTTTATATTTTAGAAGGTGCAAGACCTGGATGCTTCATACTTTGTATATAGATGCCTTATGTTTGAAGTTTCCGTCTGTCATATGTCAATTGTCCTTTACCTCATTTTCATGGTACAGTGACTACTTGAAAAAAAAGTTAAGATTTTTTTGTAATGTTAATTTCTCTCTCATTTTGAGTAATAGGATAACTATATGTAGTATGTAAAATTGAGAATGGAAATGGGGAATGTCTTGCAAGGTCCTCATGCCTGTCAGACAGTTTTCATCTGACCTCGAACTCAATTCATGGATCAGTGAACAAGGTTAAGTTTTCGTGGTTAAGTCCATATATCAGGTACTATAAGCAATAGGTCTACTATATTTGGTGTATGGAATGATTGTAAGGTGTATATGTCCAACTGGCAGGTAGCATCTGACCTTGACCTAATTTTCATGGTTCAGTGGTTAACGTTAAGTTTTAGTGTTTTGGTCTTTTTTCTTATATTATATGCAATAGGTCAACTATATTTGGTGTATGGAAACATTTTACGATGTACATGTCAGTCTGGCAGGTTTTATTTGACCTTGAACTCATTTTCACAGTTCATTGCTCAGTGTTAAGTTTTTTGTGTTTTGGTCTGTTTTTCTTGAACTATGAGCAATAGGTCAACTATATTTGGTGTATGGAATGATTGTAAGGTGTATATGTCTGTCTGGCAGGTATCATCTGACGTTGACATCATTTTCATGGTTCATTGGTCAATGTTAAATTTTCATGGTTAAGTTTGTTTCTTAGATACTATAAGCAATAGGTCAACTTTATTCAATATATAGATTGATTGTAAGGTGTGCATGTCTGTCTGGCATGGTTCATCTGACCTTGACCTTATTTTCATGGTTCATTGGTCAATACTAAGTTTTCCTGGTTAAGTTTGTTTCTTAGAAACTATAAGCAATAGGTCAACTATATTCAGTGTATGGAATGACTGTAAGGTGTACATGTATTTCCGGTTTGGTTTATCTTACCTTGACTGACCTCATTTTCTTGGATCATGTAAAGTTTATGTGATACTTGTAGTAAAGCTTTTTTTTTAGGACTATGAACATACAATCAATGATCAGTAAAGCAGGCGAGACATTTCAGCGTGTGCACTCTTAATTTTCAACTCTTTTCTATAATATTTGGATGTTACCTATTTCTTCCATTTTTTTTTAGGTTCTGATTAGTTTTGAAAGATATGGTTTCAAATCTGATTGCATTATTTTCAATATTGATATAGATTCATATATGTTCTTTTATATGAATAAAATAAGTCAGCATTCCTCATCTTCTAAAAAATAGACCATTCTATAGTTCAGTTATTTCAAAACCATTTAGAATTCTTCCTAATCATCAGCTGTCCCCATTGCCTCAGATTCCAAATGACTAGAAGATTTTTTGAATTTCCAAAAAAAACCAGGACTTTGCTGTATCCCAAAAAATTGGGGAAGGGTTGTTTTATGAATTTGTGAGCTTTGCCTACAGTTTTTCTAGTTATTCTTTGAAGCTTTTTTTTTTTTTATGTCCCAAATATCATCGTTACAAAATATTACATTAATTAAAATGGATTGATAATAACTTTCAAAGATATATGTTACTTGGATTTTACTTGAAAAAGAGGGAGGAAATACCAAGGAAGATATATCAAAAACTATATGTGGATTAAGCAACATATACCCCACCAAAACCCATGAAATAAGGTGCTCCTGTGGGGTGTTTTGAAATATGCTCTCAAGAAGAAATATATGGCCCCTTAGTATTCTTAAAATCGTAAAAAAGAAAAACATTTTAATGCAAAAGATTGGCATAATTTTAAATCTATTATTTCAGGGTTCAGATGAAGACATAATGAAACAGATTGCTAGTTTGTCTGACAGCTGTGTCCAGCATGGTCCTGAATATATTTACATCTTGTGGAAATGTCTGTTAGAACAGTGGTTCAAAGATGCTGACAACAGGGTGTACATTGTTACTCCCCAACTAGATGTGGATCGTCTGAAGGACATTGTCCAGCTTGTCCTGAATCAAAGATTAACGGCCAATTTAGAAGCTTTATACGTTCACCATAAATGTGATCTCATTCAGAACATCGGAGATGTTAAAGCCACTGTCCAGAAACAATATCCTAGCAAAGACCAAGTTTTTATTGAATACAAAATCTACAGCAACATCATTTATCCATTAGCAGAGTTTCAGTGTAAATTCATAGCATGCATCAAAAAGGGTAAAGTTTGTGTATTACAAACCAGTGCTAACTTCCATGCAGATCATTTTGTAAATGAGAGTGTTGACACAGTCAGTTTTCATCAGATGTCAAAAGATGAATTTCATCAGAGATTCCTCAAACCTATTTTAGCTTCACAGTTTTTGCAAGTCAGTGAAAAATAGTCAACTCCTTTATTATTATGCATCGTGTATTAGTTTTTGCTTTTAGGACACTCATATTGATAATAAGATATCACCAATTATCAAATAATAATTGTACATGTATGAAATAAGTTTTTTTCACCCAATATAGTAAAACTATATCTTGCATGTGCTTTTGTCTATTTATTGTATGGGGTTACAGTACTAAGAGGTAATTACAAAATGTTTCTGGCAGGTTATGTACAGATTTTTTGTACACAGTTTTTACACACCCCCCCCCCCCTTGAAAACACCAACACAAAAACAAAAGTAATGATATATTAAATAGAATAAGTGTATTATTGTAAAGAAGGTAAACACAAATTATACTCTCTTATGATAATACATACATGAAGGTCACCCATAAATCCAGTAAATGACATTGTATGTCACAAATATCTTAAACCATTCTTGTCAATTAAACTTGTCATTTCAACTTGTTTCCTATGAGCATCCCACTCCTGCCAAAAAAATTTAAAGATGAGGAGATGTGGTGAGATTGCCAATGAGACAACTAGGCATACAGTCACTGATGGACAAGATGTGAAATGTCAAATTTTGACTGGTATTTTGAAAAAGTATTAAAAACAAAGGCTTAACTAATGTTTGCAAGATGCATTATAAGCAAATTTTATGATGAAAGAATGGCATGTAACCTTTTTTGGTTGGGCTCAGGGGTCCATCTAGAAGTTTTGCCCACTTTGTAACTCTCCCACTTTGGACATTGGAAATGACAAAATTCACCCAAGTTGTAATCTAAGTGCGACTTATTTTGATGAATTGCATTACCATATGATTGATATGAGATTGAGATATTGGTTTGTTTGTGTAGAAATAGTTTTTGCTGTTAGAAATTGATTTTTTCATTCCCCACCTACATGTACGATAGTTATGTTTTCCAGTTTGTTTGTCCATTAATCTGTCCGTCCTGTATAATGTTTAAAGTTTTGCTTCAAGGTTGTTTACCAACTTGAAACTTGGTACATATTTTCAATATGATATGAACTTTTCTCTAATTTTTGTGCTATTTTCACATTTCTTGATCGGTGTGAGAAAAATATTTCTCCTCACTGGTGAAATATCTTTTCTCGGCAAATGATTGGTTGAAATTTGATTATGACTTAAAATTTTCTTGGTTTCTTCTGAATTTCCTATTGTGACGTCATGAAAAAAAGGCGACCATGCCTGATGACGTCACATATAAAGAACACAACTTTCTGCAAATCTTTGAAAAGGAAGGATAAAAATCATTAGAGAAACAGATTTCACCATTATGACTCGTGTATTACGATATTTCTCCACTCTCAACAGTTACATTTTAATTATTTAAAAAGTTCGGCAAATTTAACTGTCTCGAGTGGAGAAATATCGTAACACACTTGTTGCAGTGGTGGAATCTATATATTATTTATTTTGTCTGTTGTCTTTACATGTATTTGTTATTTTACATGATTTTATTTTGTATGTTATTTTTATAGTTTATTTTACATAATTTTCTGTTTGATATAAAATATTTTTTTGATTTTTGGTACAGTAGTTTGGTTTTAAGTACCACCGATAAATAAAAATTTTCAAACTGTTCATAAGCTTTGGTGTATATTGTAATTTTGTCAAAAGATGAGAAGACTTTTTGAGATAAAAGATTAATCTGATAGAGATTACTATTATACTAATGAAAAATTAAAAAATAAAAAAAAATTAAATTAATCAATAATATGGCTGGCCAGGTGACTTTTTATATGTTTCCTGGAGTTTTGATGAAGCAATTGCTATTTTTTTCTGCAGCTGTCAATTGAACAGCTACAGTATTTATCTAAATTGATAAATAATTGTATGAAAGGAAAAAAACATTACAGATATTATATGCTAGCCTCTGTGATATATATGCATTGCCATTTTCTTGCCACAATTTGTCCAATCAATGTATTTTTTAGGATCATGTCAAGCTGATTCTAATCCAACTGAATCTGAAGAATTACTGGTAATAGGTATATAAACTAGTAATGCTGATCTAATAAAGATAACTGTTTTGGTTTAATAATACATTATGTATTTTGGACACATTCCCACTAATTGAAGTTCAGTATCAGTTGTATTTTTACCTCTCCTCCACTTATTGGCAGGGGCATATATTTATAGTGCTATCTTTGTTGGCCATTCTCATTTTAAAAAATCTGAATATCTAGACCATTTCTATAATGCCTGTAGATATTGAGATGATTTTTGCTTCATATTAATATAAAGGTGAATTTACAGATTGAGTTCACATTTTGTTTTGGATGACCTTATTTTCATGGAGTTTTGGAATTTGGCCACAAGCAGGTCATATGAATTGGTTGGACATGTTTAGTTTTTGGTTTGTTAATTTAATTTTGAAACAACAATGTATTAATATATGTTACATATGAAGTAACAAGGAATAACAGTAAAAAATAAATGTTGACAGTCTTTGGCTTTCTATGTTGTTGTGCGTACTGTACTGCCTGTTTGTCCGTTTGTCTTTTTCTTTTTTAGCGATGGCGTTGTCAGTTTATTTTTGATTTATGAGTTTGAATATCCCTTTGGTATCCTTCGCTTCTCTTTTACTTAGTGTTTTCCTTATGAATTTTTTATAACAATATATTCAGATTTATAGAAGAATTTATTCAGAATTAGCTTTTTGTGACAAAAGAAGAATTCTTTTTGAGATAAAATGTAGAAGCCAGGAAAGCTGGTGAAAAATCGTTTAAAGGCATATTGTATTATATATCATTAACCAGGTCGCTAGATGGACCTAGATGTAGTAGAAAATTTACCTAACTTTGGAAAACTTTTGTAATTCCTGGGCAAAGTTCAGAATAATTTGTGTATATTGATAAAATGTTCATATTATGCATCTGATTTCTCATATTATATTGAAGTACAACTTTCAAGTTATTTTGTTATTTCCATAATTTTCAGTACAAATGTATACCAAAGATACATTAAATTTGGAGTAGAAAAGAGCAACACTTGATACTAATGGGTTAGATGATAATTAAAAGACTTGAGTTATGAAATTTGTAAATTGTTCACATTTGCACTGTTGAAAAATTAATCAAAAACATCTTCTAGCATTGCACAAAAACCCATTTAGACATCAATCAGAAAGAATTTCACCAGAAACTTATTTTTAAACCCACCGAAATTTGATTATACTAATTCAAAACAGCATCCCTATTTAATTATGTCATGAAATATTATTTATTTACTTCCTGTGATATTTATATTTTAATAAGTGTATACACACATAGATTTTTTATTCACCTACTGTCAAATAACTTACACATTCAAATGCTATATTTAGAATTCAGTATTCGGATGTTTTAGATGATCTTTATTGTTACAGTATATTTTACATTAAATTTTATTATTTACATGTATCTTCACAATGTTTATAAAAATAAATTATACACATTTTCCTTCATCTTTTTATATTGAACACAAGATTTTTTTAGACTCGATGCATTGGAATTTTTCAAATGGCATCACAGAAGAAAGTTACTAATCTGATAGTCATGCAGAAGTTTTAAAATTGTTGTGTACCATTTCTCACTACATCAAGAAAGCATACCAATGCTCCTGATTCACTTCAAAATCCCTAAGTTAACAGATAAACTAAGATGTTGTAAGTTCGAACTTTGATTGTTGTGTAGTGTCATCGACGCTGATCCACGGTAAATTAATAAGGATCAGGGGCGGATCCAGCCATTTTTAAATGGGGGGGGGGTCCCAACCCAGGATAAAGGGGGGGGGGGGGGGTTCCCCATTCAAATGCATTGATCGTCAAAAAAAAAAGGGGGGTTCCAACAACTGGAAACCCCCCCCCCCCCTGGATCCGCCACTGAGGATTGCCAGTTTTCTGGCTGAATGTCAGGTGTTTTCTACAGTACTCAAGCTTCCTCCACCAATAAAAAAAAATGGCTGTCGTGATACTGCCAAGGTAGCTGAAAGTAGCTTTAAACACCAACAAAAAACAAATAAATACAAATGTACACAAAGGTTTTCAGGGAAAACACCCACAAACTGCCTTCTAAAAGTGGGAGTATGAAGATTTGTCTATTATACCCGCTTTCTAAAGCCTGCAGTATAAAATGATGTGGGTGTCTGTCTGTTGATTTGTTCATCCTTCTGAACCTTTTGACAGAATATGTTAGAAACTTTAAGAGAAACTTTTGGAATTTTGTGTCCTCAATGCTCTTTAAAGGGAAAATTCGCGATTTTTCACTTATCATCTTAATATGTTCATAATACCATAAAAAACATATTCACCAAGTTTTATTAGGATATGAAAACTAATAAAGAAGAAAATTGGGAATTATTAATTTTATCTATTCGAACTTCCTGACTTCTGTGACGTAGTTAAGTCTTTTTGCATGCCGGGAGTTGAATTAATCTCATTTAAGTCTTGTTCGTTAACCGTCTAATAACGCGATTTAAAGCGCATCGACGACTTTTGGTGTAGCTATTAACCAACTAAAAATAAAGAAAGTAAAGTGATAGCCGTGCAACTTTTAAAATTAAATTGTAGGATTTATGTTTTAAGGATTTTTGATACAAATTTTAGTAATAAAAGTAAATCATACAAAAGAAAATTTTTATGATTTTTTTTTCCGACAAATACCTTAAACAAACATATGAAACTGACATGATTAATAGTGTATTAAAAATACATGTTTGTATTCTGACCTTTTTGCTTCAGTCTTGCAAACATTTCCTGCTTGTACTGTGTAAATACTATGTGTATTGTTCTGTGACACTTAGTGAATGTTGAATGCGTGGTTAAACTCAAGGTAATTAAAAGATTAGCATTCTGGAATTCTAATCTTTTGATCTTCACTCAGTGAATTTTAGCCGTCACGGTTCACCGTTCCAGGTGTGAACAACATTTCGTATGAATGATAAACGGGAGTGATAGTTTTAGACACAGAAAATATAAAAAAAGAATTAAAATTAATTTAGGGGAGTAATAAGGTGGCACAATAACTGGATAGCCGTTGTATATTTTTATATTTTGCGTAAGCTCAGTTTTAAATGAATTATGACCGCTGACTATTTTTGTAACCATGAAATACTGAATTAATTTAATTGAATAAATTTATAAATAATAATAGCCTTCTAAACACGAGTGTATGAACTAAAAATTGTACTATTTCAAATTAGAATCGGTAACCTTGAATATTTGAAATAGATCATTACCAATTGCAATTATATAATTTGGTCCATCCAAAGCGATCTTTATTTACATATTCAGGAATTAATGTTCTCATCAATATATTTTAAATCTCACAACTCATAAATACTTCAGCTATTTGAAAAAAAGATGTTTAAAAATTTGACAGGAAATTTAAGGTCCTTCTTGGAATGGAATCGAATAATTACGAACAAATATTCTTTTCAGGTGTGAAAAACATAAAAAAAAAATTATACATAATCGGGAATGTCCTTATTAAAATATTCTAAGTCTCACAACGTATAATACTTTAGCTATTTGACCAACGATGTTTAAAAAAAAAGACAGAACCAATTTAATGTCAACTTTCCCTATTTTTGAATGGAGACAGACCGGCGGAATAAATTTTCAATGTGCTTTATATCTTGTACTTTTGCAAGACTTATAATTCATTCATAAACCATGTCTATACCAGAGACATATATACACATATAATTATTAGTCTGTTTTAACTGGCAAGAATACACCTAAAGCGGACAAGCAGTTTATTCTTTAAATTTCTGTTATTTAATACCAAGAAAGAAAAAATATCCCGAAATTAATTTGATACTTTGATACTGAATATTTTTCCTGAAAAATATTCACTTCCCCTTTCGGTCTGAAAATAAGATAAAAATGTGGTATACTGAACATGCAGAAGTGTGAATTAATGTCATAAAACCTTGTTATATCAGAAACCACTATAAATGTGAAACTGTATACGTAAGACCTCATAGGACGACACCTAACCACATGCAGGTAATATACAAGTAGCTCTGTTATATCCGGAAATGTCATGGTTAATCACTACCGATACAGAATGTACCAATGCAAAGAAAATTCTGATGATTGTGAAGCATGACAATTCACGATTTTAGAGGAGTCTTACATGGTGGATTGCCGGAACGATTTAAATTCTGACTAGATATTTTCTCAATTTAAATCACTGAACTAAAAACCTACGTCAAAGAACATAATTCGTCTTGTAAATTCTTATAAATAAAACGCTCTTATTTTGTAACTTTCGATAGACTTGACCTCCAACACGCCACCCCCCCCCCCCCCCCCCCCCCCCCCCCCCCCCCCCAAAAAAACAACAACCTGGGAACCATTAGACAAGTATATCTAACAATGTTAATGTTCCTGCATGCCCAAATCATGCCCAAATCAAAAAAAAAAAAAAAGAGGAAAAAAAAAGCAAGAGATGAACGGTTAGTCACATCATATTTAGATATTTATAAATTAATGTTGTTGACTAGAGATGCATAGTGACATGTCTCTGCGTTAACTGATAAGAATAACAGGAAAGTATAAACTTGAAAAAAATAGATTGATGATGAATAATATGCGGCACCCCTTTTTATCAAAGCGTACCGTCATTCATGTATTATAATAACTGTCCGTTATTTCTATTAAGAATGGCAATTGTACGTGAAATCCTATAGATAGTGAGACTTTTTTTTACCAGATATGCGACTTTTCGTATTTATATTTTTTCTCATGTTACTCTTATTTAATATTTTATGCATAAGTGCAATATTGGGAATGGCTTATTCACCAACAATCTAACGTAATAAATTAATCAACCCTCTAGCTGATCAGACGTTAATACGATATTCGTTAATACATTTTTGTACAACTACTATCAGTCTATCCGAAGTGAAGTTTCTTTATTTCTTCAAATAGACTTTTTGGGGATCATTAGTGCACGTCCAGTGGCATATATATTACATGCATGTCGGAACAGGAAATTTGGCATAAATTAAGGTACTTTCAGAACCATGTTCACATTATTATACATTATACCCAACAATTGTGATGATGACGAATTTGTTCAACTGTTCGAGAACAATCTAATTGATTCTTCTTCTTCTTCTTTTGGTATACAATATTCCATCGACATCCGATGATTACATACTGTTCGCATACGTGGACTATTTACAAATTTTTTACCCCAATTTAAACAAAATGTATGTTTTTTTCTTATATTCAATATACATGTATATATTTTAAATTGCGACTATCTATAGTTCCGTAACTTTCTATCCAGGCGTATAAACCAATGATCGACAAGTGCGTACATTTTTGTTAAATCAATATTTCTTGTATGTTTCAAAATGTCCTTCATTATTGACAACGAGTATATACTTACATTTTCCCCAATTTACCCTTGGAAAAAATATGTAAATAGATTTTTATTTTATCAAATCTTTTTTGGGAATTATTTAGATTTTCATAAATAATATTCTTTACACCAGAAATGTTATTTATAAATAAGCGTATGAGTTTAGTAATGACTAGTATATCACTACCGGACACGCAAGACAGAGATGTATATTATACACCTGATAGTTCAAGATGGAAAGTTACAAGTTATCGGCCGTGTACACTGATCAATACCCTCAGAAGTGAAATGATGCATGAACTTGCAAGACCGACAGGAAATCGCTTGAATACCTGGACGTGTCACCTCACAATACCTTTGGGAGTAATACCTTTAGCCATGCTGGTGATTAGATAAGGGAAGGTCCAAAATTTATTTAAATAAGTTTATTACATAAAAAAATTATGAACAAATTAGATTTTCGAAAACAATTTTACACGGAACACTTATTTATGACTTTGAACTTTGACTTTTTAACTAATTCCCATATAAACAGTTTAAAAACGACAGACCATGGTTATTTAAAAAATAATTACATTTTCCGTATCAAGTTTGTTAGTCGGATAAAACAACCGTACGATTGACAAGATATCGACACGCAATTACGACAACATTAGGTTACTGTTGGTTTTGGTCCTTTGTGGTTTATAGATATATCATGGTTTCTAAACCGAGAAGATGTCAAAATGGCCGCACGCAGAGAATTGATACTCTAAATTTAAAATCGATGGTGATCTCTTATCTAGCAGAATAAAACTTTAATATTTATGAATTTGAGATTTTTTATACAGAATGGACATAATATCAATTTTTCATTTTTTTGCGAAATTTCCCTTTAACTTCATACTTTATTTGGCCTTTTTTTACTTTTTTTGATTCAAGCATCACTGATGAGTCTTTTGTAGATGAAACATGCATTTCTTGCATACAAAATTTCAATTCTGGTATCTATAATAAGTTTTTTTACTCTCATAATGTACTTTTGGACCTCCCATTTTATTTCTGAATTTATGGGGTTTGTTTTAGAATGACACAGACTTCATCATTTCTGCACACTTAAGAGTAAACATGTATTTGTATCTGCTTCTCCTTCTTAAACAGACCATAGTTGGAACTGGGATGAATCTGGGTATTCATTAGTCTGTAATGATGTAAATTTTAAATATCTATTATGATAGATCATTGGTATTAATTTGGAATGCTGTTACATTATCTATAGCTTTACCTAGAACAGAGACATATAATATTATATGTCTCTGCCTAGAAGTTAGAGTTCAGTTATTTAGTATTCAGATTCATTTTAAAAAAGAAATTTTTCAACACTCATATTACAAGTTTTACTTTGTGCATTGAAAACTGTAAACTAATTTAGATGTACATGAAAAATCTGTTGACCAGATCAAGATATACTTTCAAAATTCTGGACTTAAAAACTTTTTGAATAAACCCATTTTGATTTTTTGTTGAGCCTGCGGCTTCTGTCGCAGAAAGCGAGACATAGGGATAATGATCCGGTGGCGGCAACTAACTTCTTAAAAGCTTAATATTTCAGAAGGTAGAAGACCTGGATGCCTCATACTTTGTATATAGATGCCTTATGTAATGAAGTTTCAGTCTTTAATATGTCCATTATCCTTGACCTCATTTTCATGGGTCAGTGACTACTTGGAAAAAAAGTTAAGATTTTTTGTAATGTTAATTTCTCTCTTATTATGAGTAATAGGATAACTACATTTGGTATGTGCATACCTTGCAAGATCTTCATGCCTGTCAGACAGTTTTCACTTGACCTCTACCTCATTTCATGGATTAGTGAACCAGGTTAAGTTTTCGTGGTCAATTCCATATCTCAAATACTATAAGCAATAGGTTTTATTTGACCTTGACCTGATTTTTACAGTTCATTGCTCAATGTTAATTATCTGAATATGAATGTTAACTGTAAAAAAAAAAAGTCCATTTATCAGTGAAATACGAAAAAATGAAAATAAATATTTTCAAAATTTTGCTCTGGATACTGTATTTCGGTCATAAACAAGCTTCTGTCCAAATTTCATAAAATTCTATGAAGGTTTGACAAAGTTATTGATGTCTAAAAAAACTTTAACCACAGGCTGAACCTAACTAATGACGCCGCCGCAGTAACTGACGGAATCTATGATTGCTATGTCTCAATTTCATGACATAAATGTCACAGGCTCGACAAAAAGGTGGGATTTTCCAGTTTTCGGATAATAACTCAAAAATGCTTTGAGCAGTTTTTATGAAACTTTGGTGACTGGTTTATATCTATTAGAATAAGCTCCCTTTAGTTTTTTTTATAAATTTCTGATATGGCATTGAGGAGTAATGGAACTTTATTCATTGAAAAAGTGACGGACATATCATGCGCTCATGGCGCAGCTCTTTATTGTATATTAGTCTGTTTTTCTTAAACTATAAGCAATGGGTCAATTATATTTGGTGTATGGAATGATTAAAAGGTGTATAGGTCTGTCTGGAATGTATCATCTGAACTTGACCTCATTATCATGGTTCGTTAGTCAATATAAAGTTTTCAGGGTTTGATCTGTTTCTTGTATACTATAAGCAAGAAGTCAACTATATTCAGTGTATGAAATGATTGTAAGGTGTACATGTATTTCTGGCTTGGTTTATCTTACCTTGACCTCATTTTCTTGGATCATTTTAAATTTATGTGATACTTATAGTAAAATTTTATATTTAGGAACTATCAACATAAAATCAATGGTCAGTAAAGCAGGCGAGACATTTCAGCATGTATACTCTTGTTGCTTTTCTATCAAGATAATATACAAAAATAATCAAATTCATCAAAAGTTGCTAGAGGGAGTTAATTAAGGGATTTAATCAAATTGGTATTTTTTGGATCTTGTATTGCTGATCTGTTTTGCTGTCTATAGTGTCTTGTCTATTTATCTTACATTTCAAGATGAAATAAAAAAAATCCTAAAATTAGTTTGAATAGTAAAAGGCAATAACTTCTATAAGAAGTCGTCTGATAGTTTTAGTAGAAATGTAGCATTGGTAGATGGTGACTTTCATAGAATTTTTACCATCAGATTTTCTCTTATCTATTACGTCTTTAAAGATATTAAGACACTTTTTGCATTATACCCTTTTGTTCTATTATTAGCTATGCTTGTTGTTTGGTGGGAACAAAAAGCACAAACTCACTTCAAGATACCCTAAGGATCATATAGGACAAAGTTGGTTAAAATTGGTTCAATGTTTTCAGGAGAAGGTTTTTTTAAATGTTTAAGACACACTCTGCCAGACAACAAAGTGATGGCAATAGCTCAATTCCTCAATAGGACTAGGTGTCTAAATAATTTTCAACATACTTTTGTTGTTATGAGCTATATAATTCTTCAATTATTTATTCACGAGGGAGACTTCTTCTTTCAAGGTATACACTGACATGTGGCTGAAATGGGCAACTGTTTTATAATTCAAAAATATATCTTTATCAATGGGGTGCATTTTCAATGAGATTACATATTAATGGGTTATAAATTTCCCTCTATCGAAATATATCATAATTGGATCTATCAAGGAATACACTGAAATGGGCAACTGTTTTTATAAGTCAAAAATAAATCTATATCAATGGGGTGCATTTTCAATGAGATTACATATTATAGGGTTATAAATTTTCCTCTTTTCGAAAATTTTGTTGGTACCAGTTAAATAATCCTTGATTTAATCTAATTAAGATGTCACAGATTGTATATGTGATATCTGAGAAATATATGAATGTGTCATGATTTTGCCATGAAATATATATATGGGTCAGGATTTTCCACAAAACTTCAATGGATGAATGGCAGGGGTCTAAATCCCAGCTGCATGCCTGTACCCAAAATACTCTGTTGAGTCCCTCGTGATTGTATTATACCATATAACCAATACATGAACATGAACATGAATTTCAAAGGTGATTTGCTTTTTATTAATAATATTATGTAAAAAGAAAACTTTGTTAAAGTTATAACATTCTGTATCAGTTCAATAACAATTCAGTATGAATTATTTTTTTTTAAAACACTTGCAAATGCATAAAACAATTGGTTATAATACATCAAATAGAAGTTTTAAATAATGCTGCACTTGACCCATTTTAAATAAATTAATTGTCACGTTTCCATAATTTATTCAAATTTATAAAATACTGAGCACTTTCTGTTGCATCTGGCAGTGTCAAAATCCAATATATAAATCTAATGAATAATTTAAAGTAAATGTCCATTATTGTGGGTTCATAATCCCTCTGGATAGAACTAGAGCTCTGCTACATAATGCCTTATCTATACCCTCTTCAGGCAATATGTATCCTTTATCATCATCCTGTTTGTTTGGGTCTACTTCTACAAGGTTCTTATTACTGGCTATTATACTAGACAGAGACCAAACTCCAGGGTATTGACTTTTTCCTTGTAGTCCATATACCAAAATATCATCAGCATCATCCATCAGATTATTAGATAGAATAGTATCTGATGCAACATTGACCACACAGCCATCATCTACTGTTAGACCTTTCTTGTCAATTACACAGCTATCAAGGACTAAACCAAAACCTGTAATACAAAATTAAAAAAAGGGGAGATAACTCTGTTAAAAGTCTCTGTGATGATGTTTTTGACTACAACTTTGCTAAAATTAATGAAATTAAGAAATAGAGGCAAATGATGAAAACCAAGCTTTTATGTCAAAATAATAAGTAATTTCTCTATGACATTCATAATAAAGCATAACTATGTTGAATGTGCTCATAGTATAAATTAAAATAAATTTTTCTGTGAAGAGAAATAGAATTTGTAGTTTGAACATTTTATATATAAACTGATATCCAAGTAAGCATATTCCTTCAGGCTATCACCAGTATGTAGACTTTTAAATGCTAGCATCGGATCCTGCAGGAAGATATATTATCACACAAGGGATAAATTATTATGGTTCCTTGCAAACTGCTTTTGTTCTCAATGCATGATATTGCTACTTTAGTTAATTAACAGTTGACCTAGCCTTGGATTGAACCACAATAGAGACAATTTATTACACTAGAAGATGGAATACTTTACTTTTACTATCCAAAAAAGTCTGCTGTAAAGTGAATGGTTCAATGCTTTTAACATACCTGTGAGTAAAGCCCAGTGCGCTTTATGTCCCTTTTTATTACAGGGTTCAAAATTAAAATCTGAATCATAACTGAATAAGATTAAGGACAACATTTTTCTAAAGACCAATGTTATAACAACATATTGTTAAGTTTTTCAAGTGTAGCTTTGTATTTTTATATAATCACATTACATGTATGTTTCATTAGAATCCGTAATTTGATTGGCTGACAACAATTGCAAAGCACTCCAATATCATATTTTATTTTCTGTATAAATATGACAGCTATGTTTGCATGTGCTTGTTAAAACAATGCAAAGAAAAACAAACAAAAACTTGATATAACCCTTAATTTCTACTTAAGGAAATGCCTGTACCAAGTCAGGAATATGACAGTTGTTTTCCATTCGTTTGATGTGTTTGAGCTTTTGATTATGCCATTTGATAAGTGACTTTTCGTTTTGAATTATCCTTGGAGTTAGGTATTTTTGCTATTTTACTTTTTTCATGGTTGTAGAAAAATTTTTTTTCATTCAGAATTGAATGCTTCTTTTTATAATTTTATAGGGTTGTAAAAGCCTTGATCATGCACAAATATTTAGTATGATTCTCTATGAAGCAAAGAGCAATTTGTATGACAATATATAAATATTTCATAATTTTTCCAATTTTTAAAAAATATACATGTTCACAAACTTGAAGGATACGGTATAAGACATACATCTCCTTTTACCAAATGACTGATCAGGAATTCTGGACCAGTATCCATATCAAGGGAAGTAACTGTAATGTCAGAAATCATGTCCTCCACCAACTGTTTCATGTTGCTTGCTAAAAATAAAAACATGATTTATTGCATGACTAATAATACTACAATCCTATCAGTTATTGATCATCTTTTATTTTGTCATCCAAAATTGTACATCTTATAATTATATATTATGATTACTAAGTGAAATCTTAAAAAAAACTATTATAAGTTAACCATACCAGTAAATGTCATGCTTACATTGGCAAAAATGTCCACTTGTAGTATTAATCGGCTCAAAAAAGGCATATTTTTTCCTGATTTAATTGCCACTGGTATAAGATAATTCAAATGGCCCTTCAAATATGTTAATTTTTAAAACAGTAAAATAATTAACTTTTGTGCCTAATTTATTTCTCTCCAATATATAAATAAAACCTTCATTATTGTTGAAAAATTACAGAAAAAAAAACAAAGGATGAGGTGTGATAAAAGCCCTAATTTGGCCCTAAAAAGTACAAAAATAGTAAACTTATTCATGCCTTTCTAAATTATGTTTACTTTATTGATCAATGGACAAGTCAATATAATTTTGACACTTAAGTGCAGAAAGGTCACGTGCAATGTCACACTGAAGTTATAAACATTGTGGAAATATAGGTATTTGACTTAAAATGGCTATTTCACACAAAATTTTTGTTCAAAATATAAATGAGAAACAGGTTTAACCAAAAAAATATTTTTCACACATTAACATCTTTGTAAAATACATTTCGTAGCATAACATTTTTCTTGTGTAAATCTGTTGCATTTATCTAAATATTAATGACAGGATTTTAAAATGAGGCCATTCTTGCATGTTTTGCTGTTTTGCACAAAATTTAGGAGGTTAGAAGCCCTAAAGCCAATATGTAAGACAAATTTCAAAAAAAAATAAATACTACATTTATGGTTAGTGCAAATACTTTTTACATGCCCCACTCCAAACATTGCCTCAAATTCAAACTTATATATAATACAACTTAAATAATATTCACATGAAATACACAGTATCAACTGAATTGAGAATGGAAACTGGGAATGTGTCAAAGAGACAACAACCTGGACAAAGAGCAGAAAACAGCATGAGGCCACCAATGGAAGCATATTCAGATTGTGTTGTCTTTACTCCAAAACTTTACCTGAGAACATCTCTCCCTGTCGTGTGAATCCCTTTTCCTTAGCTGCATTAAATATACAATCAAATGTCAAATTAGTATCAAATAACTGTGCTGCCATCACCACAGCTACTAAACCACAACTGAAATTATAGAAATTCAAGACAAATAATCAATAGAACACAGAAATATATGAAAAGTTTAATCAGATTTCACTCATGCATAAAATGTAGGTCACATTGAAATAGATAAGCATTATCATTTAAAAAATATTGTCTTACTTCTTACTTATAAAACAGGACAAAAAAAATAAATGTGTAAAGGATTTCTTAAATTATGAAATAAGTATAGGTAGGTAGAAAAAAAAATTATTTTGCTTTGGTTTTTTTTAACCATGAGTATCTATGGTAACCAACAATTTTTTCAAAGTTCAATAGCAAAAATTTAAAAACTCTTTATGATATGCATTTGAGGCAAAAATAATAAGGTTGGTAGGCAAAAGTAAGAGTGTATGTATTCCTAAAGAGTTCAATTGGATTCAATAATTTATAAGTGGATATTGTTTCTCCGTTGATGACTAACCTTGGACCATCTTGTAAGACTGGGGTAACTTCTTTGTTCATGGAAACAACAATTTTCTTTCCATCCCTTTTTAACCTAAAAAACAAAACAAACAAAAAATAGCTTATTACAAACTTTTTTTCTTAAATCATATTTATCAACACAGAAAATAAGTCCAATATTATCAGTTACATAAAGAAAACTTATTATTAAAAAAATATAAATGTTGATCCAAATGCAGTCTCTTTGTCATAAAAAAAGCCTTGATCCAAGATTCATAAAATTAATGAAGACTTGACAAAGATATTGATGTTTAAAAATTTGATGAAGAATTGCTATGAATTTCATCTCAGGCAAATTGACTGTTTATAAACTCATCATAGATGAAAAACCATCATCTTGAACTCAAACTAACTACCTGGGTGGTCTGGTGCTGGCCTAGAGTGTTGGCAGTCATGGTTTTTAACCCCTTACTGGGACCGATTAAAATTGGTATTTGTTGCTTCTCTGCTAAGCATACATTATTTAGGAGTAAAAACAAAGGTAGACTGGCCTAGTCAGAATAATATATTTGAGTCATGGGATATGTCTTCCTGCAGACTGTTACCTTGTGGACTAGCACATTAAAATATCCTACTGTAAGTAATAATCAGTCTAGTACAAAGCAGGATTTATATTCAAATTAAATGGTCTTGTCTTCACAATGAATATGCATATAATAGTTGCCAATTGACATTTAATAAGAACTCCAATATACATTTTCATAGTGGCTTTACCCCCTTGTCAAACCAATAAAAGCGACAAAATGTTAGTCATCAAAGAATTTTAAGTGGCAATAAACATCTACAAGAAAGATATCTTCAAGATACTAATAGTATTCTCGAATGTTATAACCAAATACTGACAAGGTAATGGAGAAAAATCATAAACATGGTCAAGGAACCATATTAATGATCCTATAATAATTTAGTTTAACCCAGCCACATTATGTATGTGCCTGTCCCCAAGTCAGGAGCCTGTAATTCAGCAGTTGTTGTTTGTTGCGTTTATCATATTGTTTTTCGTTCATTATTTTATACATAAATCAGGCCATAAGTTTTCTCCTTTGAATCGTTTTACATTTGTCTTTTCAGGGCCTTTTATAGATGACTATGTGGTATGGGTTTTGCTCATTGTCTAAGGCCTAACAGTGACCTATAGTTGTTAACTTCTATGTCATTTGGTCTCTGGTGGAGAGTTGTCTCATTGGCAATGATACCACATCTTCTTATTTCTATACATACACATTTTTCTCCAGTCTTTCATGAAATGATTTTCTAATATCTTCTTGATCACAGGTCTGTGTGACATATGTTGATTGTCTTGTTAGTTTTGGTGGAGTCGAAGATGTCGATGGAAGTAAAGGAGGTGGAGGAGGTATAGGTGAACTCCCCGACATCTTGATATCAATAACTCCTGAACTTCATCACTCATGATATTTTCATCATGAACAAACTATCTTTGTGGATGATGTCTGAAAAAGAGAAAGAAAAGGATAACTGATATTCAAATGATTGTAATGCTATTTTTTTAGGATGAAATATCGCTTTAAATCATAAAAAATACAGAATAGTTTTTCATTAATAACAAAAGACAGTGCCTTGGTATCTAGCTGCATATTTCATCTGATAAAATCCAAATAAAGGACTATCATATCATGAATACAAAATTTTAAATTGAATAAGCTTTAAGGGTATAAATAAAAGGTCAATAATGGTGTTTTACATGTATATAATTATGAGTTTTAAAGCGGCTAGATATTTTTCTGCCTTCCCTCCCCTTCTCAAAGCGTAGTTACTCATGACAATGGTTATTGCAACATAATACATCTGTTGTCATGGTTGTTCCCTTCGATAAAGTTTGGCTGAATATACCAGTAACTGTCACCACAAACAATGGTAAAACAAGAAGTTACATGCAATGTCATGCTAAGCAAACACCTTCTTATAATTCAAAGAAAAGTATAAAAAAGCAGATAATTGTAACAACTATAGGTTACTTTACATCCTTCAACAATGAGCATTGATTTCTAGGGCGTTTTATTCTGATGCTTTCTTTTTTATTCCTGAATACTCCATATATATCTCCTTTCATTTTACAGAAAAAAATATTTAAGCACCAGTAAATTTTAAAAAAAACATCAGATCAAGATGGTAAGAATATGTCAGAGCACCTGCACATGAGGGTGTGGATGGGGTTCTTCATTTCTGTATTCTTTAATTTGTTGCCCCACTTTTCTTCTCTATTTTTTATATTTAAACACCTTATTTTTCTCTATTCTTTATTTTTTTTTTTGAGGGGGCCCTTTATTCTGGACTTTTTGCCCATTAATTTATTATTCTGTATTCTGTAAACCCCATCCATACCGGGCTCCATCATGACTGAATTAATTCTCTGCTAACTATTGAAAAGTACTGAATGAACAAGTGCTGGGAAATTTGATTGGTGTAAGTTAAGTTTTTATAGGTAAATAAACAATATGTGTCAAGCCTTTACTAATATGCCAGCCAGCTACTAAATTCCAGGGGTTGTAATTCAAAACATTAAGGACCACATAATTTTTTACAAGGATTCTCTTTCGTAAGAACTGTTTTACAGGCCCTATTTCATTTCACATTTCTTGGAAGACTGTCTGTACATTGATAAAACAAGTGCCTCTTTATCTAAACAGAGACATATTAGTCCTTGATGTCTATGACCAAAACATTCAAAACAAGGAAACAATTGGGTCGCAAATGATTTTGTCTATCACAGTTGCTCATTTACATAGATGTATTTAGACTAAGGCACTTGCAATTAAGCCTGCACGATATATACCCATCTTAACTTGTTAGTAAGAGGTTTGTACGAATACTTTTTAATGACATAAGTAAGTTGACTCACTAATTTTCGACAATGCCACTTCTACTTTCACTTTTCTACCTACACCTCGAGGTTTTCCGAATGACCCCCGAAAAGTTATTTCCCGCCAAATGAAGGGTTTTTACTTGGGATTTGTAGTATACATTTGTAAAAAAAATTCGTAAGGGTTCCGCGGAACCCAGTGTCTCGCCTACTTTTGCTGTTAATCGCAGGCTCAACAAAAATGAGGGAAAAAAATAATAAAAATATTCCTCTCTATACTATCTTTTGATTGTAAGTAGCTTCTGTCCAAGTTTGGTAAAAATCCAGGATAGTTTATGAATCTAATAAATGTTTTAAAAACTTAAACTGCAGACTGTATGTAATGTTAACTGGAAGAAAAACTAAGTCCATTTATAAGTAAAATACGGAAAAAATGGTACAAAATTTTAACAAAATTTCCTTCTAGATACTAGCTTTTAATCATAAACAAGCTTCTGTCCAAGTTTGGTACAAATCTAAGATAGTTTAAGACAGTTGTTCAAATTTTAAAAACTTTAACCACAGAGTGAATGTAATGTTTCCTGGCAGAAAAACTAAGTCCATTTATAAGTAAAATATGGAAAAAATGGAATTTTTTTTTTACAAAATTTACTTTTGGATATTATCTTATGATCATAAACAAGCTTCTGTCCAATACAAGTTTGGTAGAAATCCAGGATAGTTTATAAGAAAGTTATTAAAATTTCAATAAACTTTAACCACAGAGTGAATATTTGTGGACACCGCCGACGACGACGACGCCGACGGAATGTATAGGATCGCTATGTCTCGCTTTTTCGACAAAAGTCGAAGGCTCGACAAAAACCGAGCAAAATTGTAATATCAAGGAGTCACACGGGCATTACATGCAAGTACAGGTCAAATGATTTAGAATGTTGTTTTTAAAACAATAGGTCTAGTACTCTATAAACTCCCCATGTAAAGCCACAGGCGCTTCGGGAATGGACCCTCTTTTTCTATATTTTTAGTATTGTTTTACATTCTTTTAGTCAATATACTAAATGGTTTTAACTTATTTTTCTTTAATTTGTTTTTCTCTTATCCATTCGATTTAACAAAAACATGTAGTTTATATATGACGCACCTCTTTTTTTATATCCACAGAGGAATATATTGAAAAAAGGGGGTGTCCGTTCTCCAAGTGCCCAGTGTATTATATTAAAGTATAATTGTCCCAAGTGTTAAGCCACTGAGAAATAGTGTAAAGCCATGCAGCAACATGATAGTGTAAGGATACACGATTACTCGATATGAAAAAGAATGAACGAATGGATAACAATTGTCATATTCCTGACTTGGTTCAGACATTGTCCAAAAAAACAGATTCAGATTGTTGAGCTTGTTTTCGGTGACCTTGAACAATCTTGGTTATACTTTTATTGTTTTAGTATTGTTTTACTTCTATACAAGGGACATGTATGATATGTCTCTGCTTACAGTGATATAATGTATGTCTGCTTAGGCCACACTTACAAATATTTTGGTTTGCCCAAACCCTACCTAAAGGTAGAGACAGTGGGTAGGTAGGTTGACATTTTCTATTTCTTTTTTATTTGAGAAATTGAAGTGTCTGATGTTTTTTAGTCGTCATGCCTATCATATTAAAAAAAAACACATTTTTCACATCAGGACAATAAAAGATTTTGAGTAGGCAGCTATTTTTGGGTACGTAGGGCTAGGGCAAACAAACATATTCTTTTTTATGGCCTTACTGTATACGAAGGATTTAAAAAGAACCAGTAGCAGTATTAAAGAAAAAATCCTTCTATCTGAGTTACTAGCTATAACACAGTCTCAGCTTCTATAAAAATCCTTGTTATACTAGATATTCATAATAAATGGTTTTAGACTACTATAGTATTTGCTAATGCCTACTTAATAATCAGTGGTTGTCGTTTGTTGATGTGGTTCATAAGTGTTTCTCGTTTCTCGTTTTTTATATAGATTAGACCGTTGGTTTTCCTGTTTGAATGGTTTTACACGAGTCATTTTTGGGGCACTTTATAGCTTGCTGTTCGGTGTGAGCCAAGGCTCCGTGTTGAAGGCCGTACTTTGACCTATAATGGTTTACTTAGATGGAGAGTTGTCTCATTGGCACTCATACCACATCTTCTTATATCTATTGGGTGTTGTCAGAGCTTGGACTATTATACTTAGTATAATAATAGTCCCAGGTCAGAGACATAAAATATCGTACCAGAGACATAATGTATTATATGTCTCTGGTCGTACTTAATGTCGTTTTTGATATCTGTGTTTAAAGTCTACATTTGATCTCATTTGCTTTTTTGTACCCTATTCTATGCATCTTTGTATCTATGTACAACTTATCCACATTAACGGGGGTAATAGGGACTGAATAATGTGTGTCTGCTTCAAATCAGAAACATCGACAAATCAGATATAATCAAAAGCTTTATTTAAAGTCGCCATGTCACAAAACAATAACATATGAAATTGTCTTTAGTTTTGTTGGTATTAAACAACACTTTCAGCATAATATAAGGTCCCAAATTTTATTAACAACTTTTGTAGACTTTGGCCCAATCGATTAAGGGTCAAACATCTGTTGTCAACATTTGGATATTTAGAAGACCGCAAGTCGACCACTTAATGTTTGTATTTTGAGTTGTCTCATTGATGTACATGTACAACCAGGCACATATTTTGTTGTTTTCAACAGATATTAAAACTCACTGAACATGCATGCCAGAGGGGCGTTCTAATAGTAATTAAGATTATTCAACAAAAAGGCAAACATCAGCAACGATCACATCACTATATCTACCTATACAAATCCTTGCTGAACGAAATAATACAATAATGAAATATAAGTAAATTAAATTCAATAATCTTTAATTAGCACTAATTTTCATTAATTACATGTGTAAAATATGTTAAGAATATAACTAACAAAGGTAATATTTAACAAATAAATATATATTCTATATTGCATCCAGGAGGAGAGTGTGTTAACTCCGACAAATTGACGACCACGTGAACTCAGAATCATCATCAGATTCACTGTGTAATAGGTTTACTGTACATCGCTTCTTCGGTGCAGGTTCGTCGTCACCACTACAGCTAAATAACCTTTTCTTGACCTTTTGACCTCTTCTGGTACTATTATAAAAGGATAGTTCTCTAGAAATAAAATCCAGTTCTTTTAAAACGAAATCATCAAGACGATTTAGCTCTAGTTGTGGAGTCGCGGGTTGTTGTTTCTTTGAATTCGGGGAATAAAACAAATCGTCGTACAATGAAATTGTACCTGCAGTACAATCATCAACAAGACTAAGCTTACATGGTGTAGCAACTTCTTGTAGATCTTGAAGGATTTGGTCCAAGTAGTCTGAAATTTATGAAAAAATAGTATAAAACATAATACCAAATATACAATTGAAACTATTAGAACGGGTCAAAATAGTCCAAAATTTATATTATTGGAAAAAAGTTTTAAAATGTCATTTATGAAATATTGTAAAATAAATTTTCATCTTATTTACGTTTATAACTTGATGCAATACACTATTTGAAATCAGTATTCGGGTATACCTAGTTCTTCTTTATATATGGCAGAGACATTTTATGTGTATACATGTATATGTCTATGTATGTGATTAAGATTGCATATAAAAGCATTAAGGAATTGCACTCCTTAAATAGCAGTATTTGAAATAAATATATAACCGATAGTAACCTGGTCTAAATCGTATGTTGGACATCAATGGTATAAATCAGCCGTTTGAAAAATATATGTGTGATTGAAAATATTATCTTTTTCCTGTATTTGACTGTGAGGTTTAGATTTTGCTGAGACTTATACATTATCAATATTAGTCCCAGGTTTTTTGTTATTTCGAGACTTTGGTTGTTTAAACAATATTTTTGTCCTCCTTCTTTCATCAAAACTATTAACGGATCTTTGAAGTTGGTAAAACATTACAAATGCATAAATGAGGTACATACCATATTCAAAGAAGCTGACCTGGCTGTATTTATTACAAGGGGTTAAAACATTACAAATGCATAAATGAGGTACATACCATATTCAAAGAAGTTGACCTGGCTGTATTTATTACAAGGGGTCTTGAAAATGTGCATCTCCTCTGTAAAACAGTCCATTTTAATTATAAGCAGTATATATTAATAATTTCAAGGTGCAAGGAAGAGTGAATATTTCCAAAATGGGTGACTGTAATATATACCTTAACTTTCCACGCCCCCTTGCACGCTGTCAGGACGCTGTCATACTCTGTATATAACAAAGTAGCCGTACCTTGTTTATTGTCAAGATGCTACTCTCCTCAGACATCAAAGGTAATATTACCTGTAGATTAATCTATGGCTTCCTTAACACTAATTATCACACCTAATCAGATAACTATTAACCTGCAATTAAACCATAAATGGGTCATTAAGATTTCATGTGTATATAAGATTATAGACTGTATAAACAGATGTTAATTAATTAAAACTTTTAAATTTTAAAAATTAATTATCAGAAATACTGAAGTATAATTTTCTACAAATAAAATTTATGACTTAAACATCGGAATTACCACAGAAAAAAATTCTAACTCGACCCTTTTGGTTGGATGACATCGATAACATTTTTCAAACCGACGAGACTTCTCGTCAACTTTTATTGTTATCTTAAATCATTTGTTATGGAATAAATGTATCAAACTTATAAAAACAACTACATACTATGAAAGAAGGAATTATATATTTCGGTTTAAATAAGTGTTTGAAAAATATATGACTGATTAAGGTACTTATTTCTTTTGAACATCTAATTTCCCCAAAATATTGATTTGGATTTAATTACTGTATTTAGGTTTAAAATATTCACGTATAAGTGAAAAGCGAAAATAACCAACGCACAAAAAACATTAAGTTCGACCATAGATGTATTTCTTCATACAGTTATGGTCCGATGAACCATACAATTTCTGTAAATGAAAACGATTTTTTGGGGGGTTAAATTTGCATGGGACCATTATATAAGTTCATGTTTTAG